GCGGTGGCAGACCCTAGGCTGCGGCGACAGGAATCACTATTGGTGGTGGAGAGGTGTTAGAAGGGATGAAGGACTACACTTTGAAAATTAGATAAGACTAAAGTACTTCTATACAAATTAAAATAGTTAATTTTATTTCAATTTAGTACATGAGTTAAAATTTATAATTTATTAAAATCCAATAAATGTACTATATGTAATTTATAAAATCTCATAAATGCACTATATTGATGAGTACATACGAAACAAAAATAACATAAGAAATTCTACCCATAAAAATTTCCCGTGGGAACTAGAACATATTTATCTTTTGAATTAAATAATAATTTATGTGTACAATAGAGAAAGGACGGTGTAAATTATGATAATATTTACTATATATATTAGTTATCATCACAGGGGATGTAGCTCAGATGGTAGAGCGCTCGCTTAGCATGCGAGAGGTACGGGGATCGATACCCCGCATCTCCATTATCTTTTTTAAATATTTTTATTTTTTTAATAAATATATACTTCCTTATCATTATTATTAATTTTTAAAATATTTTATAGCTGATAATTTCCGTGAACGCCACCAGATAACAGAAAGTCCATCTCCATAATTCACCAACAACCATTATTTTCTGCACTTCACAAATCTCGAGACATCACACTTTTTCAATTGAAATGGCGAAGACGACGAGGAGGCTGGAGGTGACGTCGCCGGTGCCGGCGGACATAGACATAGCCAATTCTGTGGAGCCGCTTCATATCTCGCAAATCGCTGACGAGCTGAACCTCTCCCCCCAGCATTATGATCTTTACGGGAAGTACAAGGCTAAGGTGATCCGCTAGTGTCCGAAGCTTACTGCATATCTAAATCTCCTTGTTTATCTGTACTGCTATTGACGTGTCTCTGTGATTTGAGTTTTGCGTTTTGGATTGCTGTTGACATAAGGCTACTTTAGATGTTGCTGTAGTTTAGGATTTTTTTATCTTTTTAGTATTCCGCATTGAAGAAAGTGGGTTCCATGGTGTTAGCTGTGGGAAGGGGGTCCTATTTGTAGTTCTATTAGATTACTGTTTTCGATCCGGTAAGCGTTCGCGAAAACTCCTGTTGATTATTCTCTGGATATAAGTCCATTGAATAGTGAATTTACTGTTATTATTGTGTGAATCGAAGTTAATACGTAATGTTTGTGTGTCTGTTTGGTCGTGGGTTACTGCTTAATGGACATTGGATAAGCAATTTTTAGTTCTGTTTGTGCTTAACAGGTTCTGTTGTCCGTGCTTGATGAGCTTCAAGGAAGTGGAGATGGATATTATGTGGTAGTTGGGGGAATAACTCCAACACCTCTTGGAGAAGGAAAATCCACTACTACTGTTGGTTTGTGCCAAGCATTGGGTGCTTTTCTTGATAAAAAGGTAGCTTGCTTGCATGGACTTGTCGTATTGTATTCTGATTTGTTAGTATATGTACCATGAGCTTATTGCGGCAGTTAATCTGTAATCTGATTAAGAGTTTGCTGCGAATTCATACTGATATAAAAACAAAGATCATATGTAGTTTGATTTTGACATTGCTTCATGTGTTAATCCACAGGGAACTCTCAATAGGGCATAGAATTTTCCTTCTGAACATATAAAACACAAAACTTCTAGTTTATAAAATTGCACCCTTGAGATGGATATCTGTTAAGCAAATACCAACCTCGAGATGCTGGTTGTCATACCATAAGGGGTAATTTATTTTAATAGATTATTGAAGTACTGCAAGCATGTAGCTCAAGGCTCAACCCTTTTACTAGTCACTTATTCCTTAGTTATAATCCCTTCCGCCAGCTCCACTATAACCATATTTAAAATAAAAAGATGTACAAATTTGTATGTTTTATGTTTAACCTTTGGAAATGCTTGTCATCAACCCTCAAAGTTACTGCTTCCTTTAGGTGGTCACATGCCTCCGTCAGCCTTCGCAAGGACCGACATTCGGAATCAAAGGAGGCGCAGCAGGCGGAGGCTACAGTCAAGTTATCCCAATGGACGAGTTCAATCTTCACTTAACAGGGGATATCCATGCAATAACCGCTGCAAACAACCTTCTGGCTGCCGCCATCGACACTAGAATCTTCCACGAATCTACACAATCCGACAAAGCCCTCCTGAATCGCCTGTGCCCCGCGAACAAAGAAGGTCAGAGGAGTTTCAGTGAAATAATGTTCAGGCGCTTGAAAAAACTGGGCATCTCAAAGTCCAAGCCAGAAGAGCTCACACCCGAGGAAGTCAAGAAGTTCGCGAGGCTCGATATCGATCCCGATTCCATAACCTGGAGACGAGTTATGGATGTGAATGACCGGTTCTTGAGGAAAATCACAATCGGTCAGGGACCTGAGGAGAAAGGCATGGTTAGAGAAACGGGCTTCGATATTTCAGTGGCTAGTGAGATTATGGCTGTTTTAGCCCTCACGACCTCGTTATCCGATATGAGGGAGAGGCTCGGGAAAATGGTGATCGGGAATAGCAAATCCGGCGACCCCATCACCGCTGACGACCTTGGGGTCGGAGGTGCACTGACCGTACTGATGAAAGACGCTATTAACCCTACACTCATGCAGACACTCGAGGGCACTCCTGTCCTTGTCCATGCAGGCCCTTTTGCCAACATTGCCCACGGAAACTCATCCATAGTAGCCGACAAAATTGCTCTGAGACTCGTGGGTCCTGGTGGATTTGTGGTCACCGAAGCTGGGTTCGGAGCTGATATCGGGACAGAGAAGTTCATGAACATAAAGTGCAGGTACAGTGGCCTGAACCCTCAGTGTGCCGTTATTGTGGCGACAATCAGGGCTCTGAAAATGCACGGTGGCGGGCCCGAGGTCGTGGCTGGTAAGCCTCTTGACCGGGCTTATGTGACCGAGAATGTGGCACTTGTTGAGGCCGGATGCATTAATCTGGCGAGACATATATCGAACACGAAGGCTTACGGGGTGAATGTTGTGGTGGCTGTTAACAAGTTTTCGACTGATTCTGATGCTGAGCTGAATGCGGTGAGAGCTGCAGCTTTATCTGCAGGAGCTTTTGATGCTGTGATTTGTACTCATCATGCCCATGGAGGGAAAGGGGCGGTAAGTTGCTCGATGATACGTTTGTTTCGTAAATTGTCGTCCTATGAGAAGGAAAATAAAAAGAGTAATATATAAATTGGATTATTATGTTCTGAATTCAGGTTGACCTTGGAGTGGCAGTTCAGAAAGCATGCGAGAATGTTTCACAACCTTTGAAATTCTTGTATCCTTTGGATGTAAGTATCAAAGAGAAGATTGAAGCAATTGCAAAGTCATACGGTGCCAGTGGCGTCGAGTATTCAGAACAGGTACATGTTTTACCTTTTAGTTATTTTTTCTTGTGCACAATCGCTCTAGATTCATTCTAGTGAAGGGATAGAATTTGTGAACACTTAGAATATATGCAACTATTTTATTGTTGAAAGGTCATGTTGGGGAAAATTGAGTTCACAATATGAAATTAGAAGGTGATTTCTGATAAAAGATTATTATTTTACCTGAAACTACTGTGATTCTTTATCTGCCTGGATTCTCTACTGATGAAACTCCAGGTGTGAGCCAGCAATATTCAATCTTTATTCTGAGTAATGATCGTTTGCCCAGGTTTGAAGGGAAATTTAATATATTACCTTCCATATTATTCTGCTTGGCTAAAATACTGAATAAATGACCAGAAAAAAAGTAATCTTTATATTTTTGGCTAAAATGCTTTTGCATGCTAGTATTCTCCACCTTTGCTTCTCTTTTATTACTTTTTCTTGGTCGAGTAGGCCGAGAAACAAATAGAGATGTACAGCAAGCAAGGATTTTCCAATCTGCCAATCTGCATGGCCAAGACACAGTACTCATTTTCCCACACCCCATCACAGAAGGGAGCTCCAACAGGTTTCGTTTTACCAATTAGAGATGTTAGGGCCAGCATTGGGGCAGGCTTCATCTATCCTTTGGTCGGGACAATGAGTACCATGCCTGGCTTACCCACAAGGCCTTGCTTTTATGACATCGATCTCGACACAGCCACTGGGAGGGTCATTGGTCTTTCTTGAAAACCAACGCACTAGTCGTTTCAAGTTTGTTTGCATTTGAAGACACTGTGCTTGTATGATTTTGAGAATAAATGGCCACATTTGTGGACTATATTCTACTTTACTTTTCTCCCCCCTGAATGTAACCTGATATGAAACCTGAGATAGTCTGTTATTTTTATTCATAAATCGGCTTCTTGTATATTGGTCACGAGCTCTGGACAGTGAGATGGATTGTGTTCTAATGTCAACCGATCACTACATTTTTTTTTAAATGTAATTAAATCATGTCACTTTTTAAAAAGTGTCACAGTGTTAACCAATATTGAAACATTATTTAAAAGTGTAATTAAATTATGACGTTTTATAAAAAAGTGTCGTCATGTTTAGTTATATGGCGACACATATTAAAAAGTGTATTAAAATAATGTCGTCTTTTTATAAAATGTTACAATCTGTACTGATATGACAACATTTACCTCAAAGTGTAATTATATTATGACACTTGTACAATTGTGTCACCATTTTTATGCATAAATGTAATTAAATTATGACGTTTTATAAAAAAGCCTCGTCATGTTTAGTTATATGACGACACATTTAAAAAAAGTGTATTAAAAGAATGTCGTTTTTTTATAAAATGTCACAATTTTTACTGATATGACAACATTTACCTCAAAGTGTAATTACATTATGACACTTGTACAATTGTGTCACCATTTTTATGCATATAACAACACTTAACAAAAGCGTAATTATTTAGTGAGTGACATAATTAAACAAGAGTCGTCACATTTTAAAAAATGTTGTTTGTTTTTAATGTTATAAAAAATAGTGTTACGTCAACAACACTTCAATTTCTCGAGGTTAATACAAGTTGACAATAATCATGGAATCTTGTGTATAGCAGATGATCGAAAATTTGTCATACTTAGACACCTTCAGCTGTACAAGGTACCCAAGATCAGCAATCAAGCAAGGGAACACATGAAACAAACACAAAGGTATCATAAAAATACAAAACAAACCATTTAACATCCAAACACAAGTTCATAACACTACAAACCAGAAGTTCATAAATTACTCGTACAATTTCAATGTTAAACATAAACCTCATCAAAATTCAAAACAAACCATTTAATATCCAAACACAAGTTCTTAACAAAAATATAAAGTCTGCATAACAAAAACACAAACAGCACACCATTGTTCACCCCATATAACTCGACCTTGATGGTCCACTTGTCGGCCCTCTTGTCGTCCTTGATCCTGGAAACAGGATTTGATTTCAAGCAATAACCGTCGGATTTAAATGGTGAGCCGTTGGATTCCACTGGTGGCCCGTACGGTGATCTCTGTCGGGAACGGACCCGAAGCACCTGCAATTGCATATCCTCATTTCAGCAAAACACGCCCCAAATAAAAAGCTTGGAAATATTACTAGAAAATAGGTCATGTGTATAGAACGTAAAATGTATCCCAACAAAACAAGAAGGTATCTATTTTGTTGTTTTGGTTTGTTTTGAAAAAAGTTCAAATCGCAAATCACACTCATGCACAGGTGTACCATATAAGCTTCAGATTCCTCTTTTAGAACTTCTAAAAATTTTCTTATTAAAAATACAAAACAAACAGAACTGTGAGATGGTGATTTATGAGAAAGTGATTTAGTAAAAACTGAAACCCCACATTTGTATCAATATATCTCATGCCAAATTCCAAATAACAATGGATATGCCAATAAAATATTACGAAAAATAAATAGTTGTAAAGGTAACTAACGTAATAAACTAAGGACATAGAGAAATACCTGTAATAAAAAATCTATTGGTTCTCAGATGGTTCCTCCTCATCCACTCTTGCCCAATAGGTTCGATCATCATTGATATTTGCCGCATTCACATTTTGAGGTACGCATTCCGTGTACACATCATCATCCTCATTGTCTTGTGCTCTCTTTCCCATATCATACAAATCTCGCGGCTTTGTGCGAATCACATGAGACCAACTATTGTTTTTTGGATCTTTCACATAGAAGACTTGTTTCACCTGGGATGAAAACACGAACGGGTCATCTTTCAAGGAGCTCCCCGTATGTATTAAACTCGAGAAATTCACTAATGTGCACCCATTGTCATCCGTTTTTAAACCCCTAGTTTAATTAACATCAGCCCATTCACACTTAAACAAAACAATTTTAAAAGATCTAAAGTAATCTAATTCAATGATATCATTAAGGACACCATAATAAGGTTTTCCATCCACTTCTACGACTACTCCACTATTCTGAGTCTTTCTCAACTGGTCACGACTCTTTGTATGGTATCTAAACCCATTTATAATGAAACCACTAAATCGCCTTGCAATGCTGTTCGGACCCCTAGCAATAGCTACTAACTCGTCCGAACAGCCAGACTTCATCATTGTAGGAACCTACAGATTACAAAAAATATTAGGTACTTGAATAAATTATTTTCTGAACTACACTATTTATGTCTTTTAATACTTACTTGGGCTAAAAGCCATTCTGAAAACTTTTCATTAATCCATTTTTGTTGAATAATCTGTGTAGCTCGAAGTGGACGATAAGCTCTCTTTTGTGCTGCTAAAAATTCACTAAAATTACAAAGAATTAAATTACATAGTTATAAAAACTAGGAAGCAAATAATATATTACTATTAAACTAATTTACCTTCGGTAATTGGACAATAGATCATAATGAAGTAGCACATATCGATGGGCTTGGGCCAAAGACATGTCATCTAGAGTCACACTTTCTGCTTTCCCTATTATTCTTCCGGTGCTTGAGAAAAAGTAAATCTTTTCATTGTTCACACGATCACAGTTTCTTTGAGGACGAGTGAATGTCGTTTCAACGTCTTGAAGATTTCGAGAACAAAAGGTTAAACATTCATTCGCAATATAACCTTCTGCAATGGAACCTTCTGGTTGGGCCTTATTTCGTACAAGTGACTTTAAAATCATCAATTCCCTAAAAAAAATGACAAATATATGATTAGAAATCATGAATAATTATCATAAAGTAAATGAGATTATATTGTATCTCAGACATAAGAATAAATATAACAGATCTTACCCCTGAATAGGATACATCCACCTATATTGTACTGGACCACCCAAAATGGCCTCTTCAGATAAATGTACAATCAAATGAACCATGATTGTGAAAAAAGAAGGAGGAAATATCTTCTCTAGACGACATAACGTAACAACCACTTTATTTTGTAACTCCGCAAGCTCCTCAATATCAAGTGTTTTCGAACACAATGATTTAAAGAATGATGACAATTCTGAGATAATAGCTGTCAAGTAAGGCGACACCGAAGCTCGTAAAGCAATCGGGAGAATATCTTGCATCAAAATATGAGAATCATGGCTTTTAAGGTTAGATAGTCTCCTATCATTCAGATTTACACATCTTGATATATTCGATGCATAACCATCAGGAACCTTCAAATGTTTTAGCACAGTTAGGAATAACTCTTTCTCTTTTGCCGTCATAGTGTAACATGCTTGGGGGAGACGACACTTGTTATTAGCACCTAAGATAGGATGAAGCTCGTGTCTTATACCTAGCCGAATCAAATCAAGACGGGCATTTAGATTGTCTTTGCTCTTACCTTCAACATTCAACAATGTATTGAGGATATTATCACAAACATTTTTTTCTATATGCATCACATCTAAATTATGACGCAAAGCATTAAACTCCCAATATGGTAACTCAAAGAAAATACTTCTTTTTTTCCAGACGCATTGTGCCTCACTCTGTCTTGCTTGTTCAGTAGTTGTCGATGCAAAACCATCACCTTCTCCAATGTAATCGTCAACAACTTCATATTCCCCCCCTCTTCCATTATCAGTTTCCTCGGTACTAGCAAGCCCAATAGGTCTATCCATCGTCTCCCTTGATCTTTTGCTTGTTTTTTTATATTTTCCATACATAAATTTCATCCCGTGCAACTGCCTCAATACTTCACTCCCAGAAATTAATACTGGAGGAGATTGCAATTCTTCAGTGCCATCAAATTCATCTTTTTGATAGCGAAATGGGTGATTTGGATCTAACCACCTACGATGTGCCATGTAGCAGAATTTCTTCCCATGAGTTAGCCATAAAGAATGAGTCGAAACCCCGCAAGATGGACAAGCAACACGACCTTTGGTGCTCCAACCTTATAAATTAACATAAGAGGGAAAGTCATTAAAGGTCCACTGTACAGTAGAGATGCTCGTAGTGATTATACAAAAAGAACAAAGTTATGTACATGGATCAAGGGAGAAAAAATATTAATCTGTTAACAAAATTAAAGTCATTATTTTGGGCAATTAATAACTAATTTTAGCATGTGCATGGCATATTAAGGATTAAATGCTAAGCTACCATTACCTATTAAGAACTTGTATCCTAATATCATGATCACTCTATATACACCACCTAGTGAACTGGTGTATTATGAATATGCACTTGGCATGAAGAACTTACTTAACGATAAGAAAAGTATGTAATCTGACTTTGAAAACTTGTTAGTTGTTGCTATTTGAATACAAAAAACTCTTTTTTTTTTTTTTGTCAAGTTGGAAAAAATCAAGCAAAGACTACCTTATTCAATCATGAATTAAATAGTTTAGAATTCTTTAATCTTGATAACTAGCAGTAGAATGAAAACCCTCTATTGGCTTTATTATCATGCATATAATTTTTATTTTATTTTTTTTGTTTTTGGCAACAGACAAAGAAGGAATAAATGCCTTTTTTATCCTTCAATTCCACATTAAGGTTGATAATATAAAAATAAACCAACACTTCAACCTGATAAATTAGCATAAGCTGGAAAGTCATTAATTGTCCACATTAGAGCTGCTCGTAATTTGAAGTTGCAACCGCTTGATGCATCAAACGCGTCCACCCCATCCCATAAACGCTTCAACTCATCAATAAATGGTTGCAAGAAAACGTCTATGTCATTTCCAGGTCCTTTTTCTCCGGGGATCACCATGGACAATATCAAAGAAGATCTTTTCATACAAACCCAAGGCTCTACGTTGTATGGAATCAATATAACTGGCCAGGTGTTGTAAGTCGTGCTCATTGTTCGAAATGGGTTAAATCCATCACTAGCAAGAGCTAGTCTCACACTACGAGGATCAGATGCGAATTCTGGGAACTTAGCATCAAAATCTTTCCACGCTTTACCATCTGCCGGATGCCTCAGTTTTCCATCTTTTGTAAGCCCTTCTGTGTGCCACCTCATTGATGATGCAGTTTTAGATGACATGTAAAGTCGTTTGAGTCTTGGTATTAAAGGAAAGTACCGTAAGACTTTTAGCTGCTTTTTTCTTTCTTTGCTTGCCTTCATCAAGGTTTACTGCATGGTCACCATCATTTTTCTCTATCCACCTTGACGTTGAGCACACATTACAAGTTTCACAATTCAAATTGTCCCCCCAATACAACATACAATCATTCGGACAACAATCAATTTTCTTATATCCAAGTCCTAACTCCCGAATAACTTTTTTTGCTCCATAATAAGATGACGGCAACGAAACACCATCAGGAAATGCATCATCTAATAACTCTAGAAGCATAGTGAAAGACTTTGTTGACCAACCGTATAGACATTTGAGATGAAATAATCGCAATAAAAATGATACTTTTGAGAACTTCGAACAACCTGGATAAAGTTTTGCATCTCTTTCTTTCTCTAAATTTTCATGCCTACTTCTTGCATTATTTACATTGGTACCTCCACGATTAGGCCACGACTCATCGTCCAAATTTCTATTTTCTATTGTTGATTTCATGTTTGTTGAAGCAAATCTAGACTCATCTTCTAGGTTATGTTCAGCAGCAAGTTCCCAAGCATCTTGGAAGAGCCCCCTCATGTTATATTCTCCATCTAAACTATTTTCAACACTTCTCACGATTAGCTCATCTGAGCGACATTGGTCTGTAGGTGAAAAAATATTTTCACCGTGGAACACCCAGCAAGTGTAACCTTCTTGGAACCCATACCATACCAAATGCTCACGAACAGTTTCAGCGTCATGTGAAAACCTATTAAAACATCTTCGACATGGACAATATATTGTTCCATTGATAGATGAATTTTCCAAAGCAAATTTGATAAAGGTTGACACCCCTTCAGTAAATGTTTTGCTCGATCTTGGGACAAGCATCCAACTTTTGTCCATTATAATCTAACACAACAAATATAATTAATTTTTCAGCAGCTCAAAAACATGCAAATAGATCTAGAACAATGAAGCTAATGAGGAAAGGTAGATAAAGGTTCAATTTTATAATCTAGTTCAAACCATAGTACATAAACATAACACAGACCTTACCCGAGCTATAGCTAAACACCGGTTTCTTTAATAACAGACCAACATGTGATAAAGATTAACCCAAACTCTTGTTTAACATCGTGGCATAACAAACCATAAGGGTGAATTGTTATCGCTGAAATGTGAAAGGTATCCTAACATCAGAAGAAGTTGGCGTCATTCGAGGAACCAACACACTTTCACCTACGTTATCTCCAATGAGTATCTTACATTCGAGCACGTGAACTCCATTGAAATTTGAGAATGAGTGCAAATGTTTTCTCATTGAGTTGATGGAACACTCTTATTGGAACCTTGCCAATGTCTGCGAATATCTAATTACACGACGCTGACATCGTGTGAGTAATATAAAAGAGGAAAAATGAAACTTTTTTCTAGGAGCCAGTTTAGTTTTAACAATTGTTTGAAGTTGGCTAAATTCTTGTTGATTCTAACTTTGAACAGTTCACAAGCTCGGTTGGGCGAGGACCTCATTCAAAAATTTAGTTTGAGCAGTTGTTTGAAGCTAGATAAATTCTTGTTGAATCCAACTTTAAACAGCTCGCAAATCGATTCCAACAATTATTTGAAACTGGCTAAATTCTTGTTGATTCCAACTTTGCACAACTCGCAAGTTGGGTTGGATGAGGACCTAATTCAAAAATTTAGTTTGACTGGTTGTTTGAAGCTGACTAATATTCTTGTTGATTTTCAACTTTGAACATTGCGCAAGCTAGGTTAGGTGAGGACCTAATTCAAAATTTGGTTTGAATAATTATTTGAAGCTGGCTTCTAACTTTGAACAGCTCACAAGCTGGGTTGGGCGAGGAACTAATTCAGAATTTTAGTTTGAACAGTTGTTTGAAGCTGTCTAAATTCTCATTGATTCCAACTTTGAACCGCTCCCAAGCTCGGTTGGGCAATGACCTAATTCAAAATTTAGTTTGCACAATTGTTTGAAGCTGGCTAAAATTATCGTTGATTAAAACTTTGATAAACTCGCAAGCTAGGTTGGGCTAGGACATAGTTGAATATTTTGGTTTGAACAGTTGTTTGAAGCTAGCTAAATTTTTAGCTGATTTCAACTTTGAACAGCTCATAAATTGGATTGGAGGATACGACACAATGCTGACTAGTTATTTTAGTGAAGAACATAACAATTATGAGTTAATTGCGAGATTATTACTTTTTGAATTAAAAATGATGAATTAGCTATGAGCTAAATTAAATGGAGTAGATCGCATGAGTAAATATCGAGTTAAAGAGCTCATCATGCAAATTGCGAGTTGGACGAGTAAAGGAGCTGCGAGCTATTACTCGAAGGAGTTGCGAGCTATGACACGTGTTGGAACTCTGAGCTAGCTGGAGCGGTAAGCTGTGAGTTGCGACCTATGTTAAATTGCGCTACGAGCCGCCACTGAAAACTGGTCGTGAGTTATGAGATTTACACTTACCTATGGGAGAACAATTATGTGTTGAACAACTACTAAAAATGAGTTGCGAGCTATGAGAATTACAATGTAGCTCTAGCTATCTTTACTAATATTTTTTAGTAACCTAGTTACTATAGCTACTTCGGCTTGGAGATGCTTACTAATACTGTAATACATGAATTGAGAGGTGCCAATTAACGAACTGATGGGCTACAAACACGCGAACTACGAGCTTCCGACACGAACTGAGAGTTGCTAATTAACGCATAAGTTGTGAGCTGCCTACACGCAAATTGCGAGTTTCCAACATGAACATAGAGTTGCTATTTAATGCATGAGCTGCGAGCTACCAACACGCAAACTGCGAGATGCCAACATAAACTGAGAGCTGCTAATTAATGGTGGTAGAGGACTTGACTTTTTTTTTTAATAAAAATAATTTATTTTTAATGCAATTGATCGAAAGTGAATAACGGACCTAAATATAGAAATAAAAATTGATTAATTAAAAGACAAAAAACATAAAAAAAATGGTCGNTTAGTAAAAAAAATCAATATATCAGGATAAAAGAAATGAAGGAAAATGAAGTGTGGCCCTCAAAAGAGAGCCACTCTGAGTTTGATTAAAAAGAAGGGCACAATAAAAAAATAAAAAAAAATAAAAAAAAAAATAAAAGCAATTTAATTTAAAACTCACACAAACAAAGTCTCACTCGCAGTGCGTTTTTCTCTGAGCTGCATGCGAATGGCGGCAGCTCTAAAAGCTGCAATTCCAGGCCTCCATTTCCGGCCACGGTATCCCACGGTAAACCCGCCGACCTCAAGGCTGTCGAGAAACCCTGCTCGGAGAACCCAGCCGCGACCCCTCAAGTGTTCGTTCGTCGGCCAGCAGCAAATTGAGGATGAAATTTCCAAAACGACGGCGTTTACGGATGAAGAAAATGCACTGATCGACGCTTTAATCGGAATCCAAGGCCGCGGCCGCTCCGCCTCCTCGGCGCAACTCCAGGCAAACCAACATTATCTCTGTTTTTTCTTCAAATTTCCAATTTTTTTTCAATCCTTTGATGCTTGAGTAGATTTGGATTGCGCAATAGGAACATCTTCAAAACTATATATTACACACTCACACACACACACGAAAAGGTTAAATTCTTAGCTTAGTTCTTTCTGTGTGTATATGGAATATATGAAATGGTTAAATTTAAACAGGAAGTTGAAAGGGCCGTCCAGAAATTAGAAGATTTAAAGGGTGTCCCTGATCCAGTAAGTCACTTGTTCACTATCACGATGATTATGATTATTATTTGATTAATATGATTGAAGTGATAACTGAAATTTACAGACAGGATCGAGCTTCATCGAAGGACGTTGGCAGTTAATGTTCACCACAAGACCTGCAACAGCTTCCCTAATTCAGGTTATACTAGTTTACATATAGACTACCTATTTTTCTCCTTGTTGAACAAAACTAGATTGCTTTAGTTTTATTGATTCTTGTGTTAAGTTCCTCTGGTGTGACTAACTCTGGGGCCAAATGCAGAGGACATTTGTTGGGGTCGACTCTTTCAGTGTGTTCCAGGAAGTATATCTTCAAACTGATGATCCACGGGTCTCGAATATCGTAAAGTTTTCGGATACAATTGGTGAGCTGAAAGTTGAGGTACAAAATTTTTACTCTTGATCATTTCATTCGGTTAATATGGCTGAGACGAATGGGTTTCATGTGGGATTTGTGACATTCAAGCACAACTGCTAGTTGTGGAAGAAAATGCTGTTGAATAAGCGAAGTTGCTAACCTTGATGTTTAATTCCCATATTTTTTAACAATGTTGATTATTTGCATATCTACTCGCACAGTTGTATTGCGTTAGCAGCTCAAAAATCAAGAAGACCATACCTTTATGTCTGTTTCAAATTTCAAACTGATATTTCATAAACAAACAAATAAATGTAAAGTTCGAAAGAGTTCTTTTAGTTATGTTATTTTGATTATATAGGCAGTGGCATCAATCAAAGACGGGAAAAGGATCCTCTTCCGGTTTGATAGGGCTGCCTTCTCGTTTAAATTCCTTCCATTCAAAGTTCCATATCCGGTGCCTTTTAAACTTCTTGGAGATGAGGCAAAGGGCTGGTTGGACACTACTTACTTGTCTCAATCTGGAAAAATACGTATATCACGTGGAAACAAGGTAAACTAGCTCATTAGCATCAAAAGAACTATCCATGATTTTAAAAAGTAAGCATTTTATGCTCTTTGGTGAATTAGCAATTTGTAACTCGTTTCACAGTCTCTTATGCCAAGGAAAGGACTATGAGTTCCAAATGCTATAGTGCAGGGATCGACTTTTGTGCTGCAAAAGGAAACTGAACCAAGACAGAGATTGTTGTCAGTCATTTCTAATGGTAGAGATGTGAGAGAGGTTCGTTGCTATTTTTCTCAGAACTTTTTTCTTATAATAAATATGAGGATTTATTTTGACGATCACATGTCTGGAACATCATGAACAGGGTATTGATGAGTTTATCACCTTAAACCGAAATGCGGCTAAAGGTGAAATGGAACTTCTGGAAGGAGAGTGGCTAATGATATGGAGTTCACAGGTTCTATTCTCATAAGCATGAGGGAGAAAAGAAAATTCATCAGAAAATGTCATATGTGTCCAGGGCTTTCTGTCTAGGACTGATTTGTCGCTATTTTTCATTGCAGGAAGAAACAGAAAGTTGGTTAGAGAATGCTGCAAAAGGTTTAATGGGAAAGCAGGTGCCATCAAGAAATCATTCACGTTCCAAGTTTTGTTCCTTTTTGCTTCTGTTAGTGTCTGCATAAGTTTTCTGACATCTAACTCTCAGAAGCTGATGAATATTACTGTAGATTATTCGGCCAAATGGCAGCATGAAGTTCCTGGTCGATATTTTTTTAGGTTTCAAATTCTCCATGACTGGAAAATATGCGTAAGTTGCTACGAGGTCCTATTGTGTATTATTTACCCAACTGAATATCATTATCATATATAATTGTTCATTACAAGATTTTGATGCCTAATAATCTTCATATTAAGGAAATCTGGGATCAACATGTATGATATCACGATGGATGATGCAGCCATAGTGGCTGGTCCATATGGGATCCCAGCTGAATTGGAGACCAAGTTCACACTGGAACTTCTGTAAGAAACTTCTGCTAATATTGACCTTTATGCCTATAGGATTAACCATAAAGGTGGAACTTTATTTTACCCTCCCTCCCCTGTACATATGCTGCAGATATACGGATGAAAAGATAAGAATTAGTCGCGGGTATAACAAGATTATTTTCGTCCATGTCCGTGTCGATTGAGCCTTCAGAAAACGAGTGTACGGTGGCCTATGTGTATTTTCTCATATGAATCTTGATTCTTGAATGTAATTAATTATGAGGGAAGAACTTGGTCACGAATGCACTGTTATGACCGATCATGGATCCTTGCAACCAGTTTATAAAGTAGAACATTAGATAGTATTTTGTTGTATTCAATAGAGGAAAAACTATTTCCCATTTGAACTTTATTTTTCTTTTTCTTTTGACAAACTGTATCTAAACCTTGCGAGTTTTTCATGTTGCTTTTGATTGTTCAGTACATACATTTCCTATTCTACTTCTGCTAATTTTCAACTGTTTTAAGCTTTTGAGATGCATTCCTTCTCCTTTTTATTTCAGGACTGAAAATGGTATTATCATCATGTGTCAAGATTATCATAGTAAAAGGAATGTAACTGGGAATGGACATTTTATTGTACAATGTTCATCCTACAAAAAATTTCTAATACAGAGGATGAGCTTTGTTTAAAGTTTTGGTTATGTCAATGAGCTCTACCCCACTTTAGTCTTATCCATTTACAAAGGAATCTTTTAGGAGCACCCCACATCTTGAGTTGAAACTTTGCTAGTGCTATGGGTGGTGACCTCATCTTATTCGAAGATAAACTTATCTAATAAAATTTTTTTTATTTTTTTTTTTTGGTCCCTTGGGTTATTATCAATGTATTTTGGAGTCAATATACATATTGATATTATAAAATAGCCTTCTTGTCAATGGATATTACTCACGGTCTCAAAACCAAATGTATACAAACTTGACTGATGCTGAGTCACTTAAACATGTTCATAATTGGCATAATTATCCCAATAGCATAAATTGGTTATGATTTCTTAAATTAAAGTATGAATTTGGAATGAAACTATTGAACTAGTCAATAATCTACGACAGAACAACTCCTTCAAAACGATAATATACGATAATAAATATATAATTGTAGACTATCTACCTAAAGTTAATTTACGCTTATTTTATTTCATTTAATTGTAAGAAATTTCCGTTATAATTTGTATTAATTATGTTTAATTATATTTTTTAAATTATTATATCATATAATCATTAATATTACTAATATTAACTAACTATAAAGTCACACTAAAAAATTTATGAAAATTACACAATCATAAATAATTATATATCAAAATGTTTTCTTCAAACTATTTATTTTGAAATTGACATTATATTTTTATTTTTATCTCATTAAATGATCTTTTTAAATAGCTAATTGATATTAATAACATAACATGACATAGCTTTTAAATTCACGTAAATTATTGTTATAAATTTAATTACGATCCTTTAAATTTGCAAAAGTTGGATTATTTGCAAAAGTTGAATTAAATAATCTATAACGAATAATTCAACTTTTGCACATCTATATTTTACATCATATTTTAACTAATGATTAAATTTATAAAATATGATGTGCTCATTCTATAACATGTGATATTAAATACAATATCCAAATATAACTTATTTAATATGATATTAAATATAATATCCCAATATAACTTATTTATTATTTTATTTGAATTTGTGCATGAAATAAAAACAACCTTGAAAATAACTGCTTAACCAAGTGACCAACTTCTCTCTCTCTCTCTCTCTCTCACTAAAAAGGAAACAAAAAAAGCATGAAAGTAAACAAAAACAAAATGGGTTAAGTTTGTCCAAGTTCTGAGGCTAAATTAGCTTTGGGAACCGGTTTTCTTCCCAGTTCTGTCCAAAATGAGGCTCGACACCTGCAAAGAACAAGAAACAAACATCCACCTAAACTTACAGAGAAGGCCTCACACAACTTCTGCAACAAACCTAATTCACATTGAGATAGTTTCAATAGAACAGCAAAACCCATAAGCAATATGCTTACTAAACCAAAGTCATCCTGCAATCGGCTGCAAAATCAAAGCCAAAGAAAGAAATAGCCTAACTAGTAGCTTATCAATTACCCAGTCACCACAGGCCTAAAAAGAACAGACCAAGCATCTTGCAGGCTTCTATAAACGGTGCTAAACTAAAATTTCGGTCTCTACACAGACAACAAAACAACAATACAAGAAATCAAATGAATAAGGATATAACAGAACAAGATTGCCAGAACAACAAACAGATACACCAACTGAACCGTGATCCTTTCAGGAACTTGGATACAAGTACAATGATTATTAAGAGAAGATGGTAAAAATTCACAGGTTCACTGCAAACAATAGAAATATATGCTCAAGCCTCCACAGGATGAAGGGACAGAAAAGGAAACATAACCACCTATCAACAACAACCCAACCAAAACAGGAATTCATTATAACCTATATTTACTAGATACCTGCCATGGCAATAAGTAAACAGACATGGATAGAGGATAGTACAAGAAGCTCGGCAGCACAAATTATGCAACATATCATGACAAGCCAATAAAATTTGAAAGAAAACCAGATCCTTTCTCTTTGTTACACTTGAGAAGACACATCAAGTTCAGGATTTTTAACGAAAAGCACACTACCAAGTACAGAACCTAAATGGGAATGCAACAGAGAAGATATACATGCACATTGGCAACAACGGGACGATTTCAAAAGTCATCGAACCAAATCTTCTCTTTGTGCTTCGATACAAACTCATCAATTCACCCATCCCTCACCAGAACATTACTAGTATCTTCTGTGATTCCTAGTTTTCCGTACAAATATCTCCACCTGCCACCAAAGGTTCACATGACTGTATCAACATTGTCGGTAACTATAACTTCCATATCCTCATACTTACTCCCCTCATGGTGATTATTCTCGTCTTTCTCTTTAACAACCTTATTGTTCCCTTTAACCTTGTCAGCATCAAGGGCCTCACTGTTGTAAATTTCTTCTTTCCCCTGTGTCTCAGTAAGCTTACCATTCTCATCAGCTTCAGCAACCATATCATCTTTATTATCTGCTTCCTTCCCGAAATATAACTCATCGCCATTTTCGTTATTTGCGTCAACGAATTCATTATCTTTGCTATTTTCTACTTTACCTTCAGAATCACAAAGCTTTTTACTTCCCTCGCCATCTCCACCAACCACATCAAGTTCTTTCTCCACTTCTTTTTCAAAACCGAACCCCTCAATTTTCTCTGCAGTTTCCACTTCCGTGTACGTCACATCACAGTTTTTTCCCTTACAGACCCTCATATTATCTTCACTGAAATCCTCATTATTGTCCCCAACAGATTGACCACCCTCCTCTCCACGGCTCCCGCTCTCATTTTCCGACTCATTCTCAACAACTTCCTCATTAATTATTTCTCCACCTCTGTTCCCCCTCCCTTCCAGAAACAGCATCCTCCTCCTCAAATCATCCAACTCCCTTTCCATCAAGAACAGCCTCTCCTTCAATATCAGGTTCTCCTCCTCCAGCTGGGCAATGTGGCTGTCCTGATCATCCACCCGATTCTCGAGCACACTATGGAAATCCATTCCACTGGCCGTACCACTATTCGGGTTATAAATCATCTCAAACCTACTAAGGTCATGGTCCAACCTCCTCTCAACCTCTACATGCTCCTCAACATCACTCTCACTAGAGCCCCCTTCATCCTCATCTTCATCCTCGTGGGGCTCCATCTCGTGCCCGGGAGACCTCAGCCGAATCAAACCTTTCATCGACCCATACCCATCCACCCCCCACTCCTCTTTCGCCATGTCAACCAAAACCTCCCTCGATGGAGAAAATATGGGAGTCGGAAGGACAGCTGGCGTCATGGGGGACGGTGAGACAAGCGAAGCTATGCCGCCGCTCTTTTTTGCCCGGATTAAAAACGAGGTCGTGTTCCTCGGAGCATAGGGGGCATTCCTGCTGTTGTTGAAGTTGTTGTAATTTCCACCGACCATGTTCGGGTTCGGGTTCGTGTTCATGTTGTTGTTCTTACTGAACTTCTTCTTCGTGAAGAACTTGCGGGTCTTGAGTCGATTCTGGTGCTGCAGTTCATTCAGAGTGGGAGGTTGATAGCTGTTAAAGTTCATATTCCCTAAGCCACCGCCTGCCGCTCCACTGTGGATTATGTTAACACCGCCTGCAAGGCCTGAGCTGGAACCAGACATTAGGGATTTCTGCAGATCGTTGTTCCTCCTCTTGTCGTTGGGCTTACTTACCTTTTTCCCCTTCCAATTGCTCCTCGGACCCAATGATTTGTTGAAGGACGGTAATGGAGGTTTCATGGCACCGGGATTAGGGTTGGGTTTCTGAAACTGCATCGGCTGGGACCACATGCCGCCATAGCCTCGATTCATCTGAGGAACCATCTGCGGACAAAAATCAATCGAAATATTCGATTGGGAAAGAAATTGATGGAGATTCCAGGATTTATTCGGGTGAAATGCAATTACCTGGGGCGGAGGCTGTTGATTCATTTGATTCATACCCATCATGTTCGGATTCAAGTTCATCAAGTGCTGCTGCTGCTGTTGATTCATCATCGGAGCTTGCTCGTTCATTTCAATTATCCCTCACTGATTGATAACAGGATTTGGAAAATGAAATCAGATAGACACGGTAGGAAAAAAAAAAAAACAGAAATATTTGAGAATTATCCTAGGGTTTGAAAGCCAAAGAGACGTTATAGTTCAAATTCCCAACTCAGAAAAAACAAAAAACAAAAAGATCCAGCGCCTCGTGGGAATCCAACGACAGAAATTCAATTATTATCACGAGTTTTTCAGTTCCTGAGAAGATTTGAAATTCGCAGATCCAAATCACAGAGCAACGTTCATGTGTGTGTTAATATAATAACAGTTGTTCGCAAATTCTCTCTCTAAAATCTCGACTTTCGCATTTCTAATCCTCTGCGCAACTGCGTGTTTTCGGGTCGTTTTGTATTTGGAGACGATAGGCCGACCGGGGTTAGGTTTATATATAGGCCAGGTTTGTCAGTACGGACGGCTGAGATCTGATCTTGAGCGTAGACGGATGAGATCGAAAGCGCGTGTTGCACAAGTGGGGAGGGATCGGGTTTCGGTTCCGCAGGGTAATTGACCTTCATTTTTCGAATATTTACGTCGACCACCATTTGGTGTCGGACGACGTCGTAACTAGTAAGTTGTTGGTTGTGGGGCACGTGCTTGTTTTGATATGTCGCATAGGGATCGTGTACTGCTTTTGAAAAGTTTGCCGTTATTTTACTTTTTCCTCTTATTATCCGGTATATATATTTTCCAATTTTTACCAATTAAAAAATAGGGGTGAATTATTTATTTAAAAAAATAAAAAAACCAGTGGATAAAAATAAAAAGAAAAAAAAAATGTGTGGAACAAAATCAAAAACTCGTATTACGAGAATATGTTTTTTTAATTTTTTTTAATAATTTTTTTTTTAAAAAAAAAAACTTATTAAAACGTATTTTGAAAATACGTTTTTTAAAAAATCCTAAATCAATTTTAAAACGTATTTTCGAAATACCTTGCTATAATTCAATTATTTTTTAAAAAATCTATTAATAAAAAATAAATATCTAAAAATAAATTGTTAATATTGTTATATATAAATATATATAAAATTACATACATATATCATCACATGTACAATGAGCAAAATAAAAACATATGTATTATCACATGTATGTGTATAAGGAGAAAATAAAAAAACATAATAAAATAAGAGACTCTAGAGGTCTTGAACCCATGACCTCCCACCAAAATGAGGAATAAGACTATCAAGGTAACCACTCCACCAAAAATATTTTGTCGAAAAAATGTCAACAAGTAATGTAGATATAGACGTAATTCAGTACAAATACGCGTTTTTCAATTTTGCCCATTGGTTCATGAAATTGATGTTGATAGCATTGTTGTGGTAATAAAAATTTCGTAAAAAGAGTCTCCGTTTGGGAGATATAGAGGTTTAAAAATTTGAAAAACCTAGAATTTTGCTTAAAAATTAAATTAACCTTATAGAAAGGCGTTTTTTTCAAATTTTTGTCGGCCAAACCGCCTTCGGCAATTTGCAGTGGATAGATCTCGTCGAGCTACCCCAAATTCATAAATTATGCGTCCAAAACGGACATTTCTACACAAAATTATGACATTTCAAAGTTTTGCTAGCAAATAACTCATTTTCGTGTAGGGCTACTCAGAAGCCTCTTTCGAATTGGCTTCCATTGTGTTGGATTAGACATTTGAATATTTGCTACTACAAGAACGTCTTGTATATATAGTATATACATATATATTTTAATATATATAAATATGACTATATATTATATATTAAATAAAAATAACTTGTATGACATTAAAATAAAAATAAAAGTTAAAAACTATGAATATCTAGTATAGTATATAGTATACAGTGTATAATATTAAGTATATGGTATATAGTTTGTAGTATGTAGTATCAAGTATGTAATATGTAGTATGTAGTATGTAGTATTTTGAATTGTAGTATGTGGTATGTAGTGTAGTATCTATTATATAATATGTAATTTACACTTTATAATATGTAGTATGAAGTATATAGTATATACATATACTTTATATATGTAGTATATAGTATATAGTGTATAGTATATAGTGTATAATATAAAGTATATAATATATAGTTTGAAGTATGTAGTATCAAGTATATAATATGTAGTATGTAGTATGTAGTATTTTGAATTGTAGTATGTAGTATCTATTATATAATATGTAATTTATACTTTATAATATGTGGTATGTAGTATGTAGTATGAAGTATATAGTATATACATATACTTTATAATATGTAGTATGTAGTATGAACTATATAATATATACACATACTTTATAATATGTTGTATGTTGTATGTTGTATGAAGTATATAGTATATACATATCATTTATAATATGTAGTATGTAGTATGTAGTATGAACTATATAGTATATACATACACTTTATAATATGTAGTATGAAGTATATAGTATATACATATACTTTATAATATGTAATATGGTTTATTTGAATTTGGTTAGATTGTTTATTTGGATTTGTTTGAATAATTTATTTAAAACCATTGTTGTGGTATTTAGGGTAGATCGATTGATTTGTTAATGTATTTTTGGTTTATTTGTTTGTTTTCAATATTTAAAATATGTTTTTTTGGGTTAAAAAATTGAAAAAATTTGTTTTAAAAAAAAATAAATGAATAAAACGTATTTTGGTTATACGTTTTACAAATATTTAGTGAATCAAACGTATTTTGGTTATACGTTTTACAAATAATTAATGAATAAAACGTATTTAGGTTATACGTTTTACAAATAATTAATGAAAAAATGTATTTCGGTTATACATTTTTGGGTTTAGGGTTTAGAGTTTAGGGTTAAAAACGTATTTGCACAATACGTTTTACTGTTTTATGAATTTAAAAATATTTTTTTCTTAAAAATTATTTTCTTCAATAAATATATTAAAAAATTAATTTTATTTATAAAACATATTTGTAAAATACGTTTTAAATAATTTTATTTATAAAACGTATTTTTAAAATACGTTTTATTTATTATTAAATTAAGTTGATAACATAATTAATTTAATTAACTTGAAAGCGTATTTTAAAAATACGTTTTTAAATAAAAACAGATTTTTAAAATACGTTTTTTAAATAAAAACGTATTATCAAAATACGTGCTTTTGATAAAGGTCCACACTTTTTGTTTTTCTTTTTTTTTTCGCCCACTTAATTTTTTTATTTTTTAATGTGGTTAAAAAACCTTAAAAATAGTCAACATTGCAATGATATGAGGCTTTGCTACAGCAGGTCATGAATATGTTAAGCCAAGAAGAAGAAAAGATGTAGTTGAACGTGGTCACACAAGCTTTGGCGCCTGGCGGTAAATAATATGAGGCTTTGCTACAGCAGGTCATGCATCTGTTAGCCAGGAAGAAGAAAAGATGCAGTTAAAGTGGTCACACAAGATCGAAATTTGAAAAGATGTACATGTACTTATAATAAACAACCACACAAGATCAAGATTGAAGAGATGTACTAAACATCAATTAACTAAAATTTGATCGACTCACGACCCAACGATTGAGGCTAATCTAAGTATTTTTTTTTTTTCTCTTTAACAACTTACGCGACCCAACGATTGAATCTAAACCGTGAATCTTGTAATGGCTGCAAAGTCCAACGACTGAAATTAAGTTGTAGTAGGGCTCAAACCAGTCCATTTTTGGTCGAACTCGAAACCTTATCAAAAATTAAATTTTGAATTTTGAAAGATTTAAGCGTAATATACGAACCAGCGGGTTCTTGTATAAATTCTTCTAGGATTGAAAATTCACTTACCTATCTGTATTATTATAAAAGATATATAAATAAATAAATAAATTTAAAACCGGATATAAATCCAATTGGTGGGGTAGGGCGCGATTCATTTTTGTATAACTTTTAGTTGATGCCACGTTATCAGAAAATAAGATTTCATACTTGGTGTATTTAAATAAGGTTAATACACAACTTAACAATGATATTGATAGTCTCCCTGTATCTTTGGTATTAGAGAGGTAGGAATAGAAATAGGCCATGGCGGGAGCACAAGTGGGAAGCATAGATAGAACGCATTAAGCATGAACTTATCACTCTTCTCTGGTTCATGAGGAAGGCCCAGCGCTCTCAGCTCCCTCGTCCGCATGTCGTACGAGACCAACTCCCTGCACCACCTCAAATACACTATCTCCACATCATACGGATCGAAACAAACGAGGTCCGCACCCGTTTGTCGGCCATACCAACGGCCGGCAATCCAAATATCTTCATACGCAACCATATGCTGCAAACACCATCCACCCATATCATAGTCCTCCAGCACCCATATCTTGAGCTGCGAGAAGCCGCTCAGACCACCGTATGGATCGACAACTTCAAAATACTTGATAAGCCCTTGGTGGACGCCACACGAGTTGTAGTTCGCGGTGTGTCTATAATAACCCCTGTATCGATCCTTGGGGAAATCTATCAAGCGCATTTCATCAGGGCTCGTATAAGGATCGTATGCTATAAGCCCAACCTCACAATCATCCCAGTGCAGTTGCCCGTTGAGGAACACAGTCTTGTTGATATAAGAAACCTGAACTGCACGCGTGGAGTGAACGGTATATTCTACCCATTTCCCAGATTCAGAACAGAACACCACGAACTCGATAAAAAATTGTTTCTGGGGATAACAACGGACGAGCACGACCCTGTAGCTGGTTAAGATTCCGGCTTCGACCCGTGCGATGAAACCATAGCTGACATTTGCGTTTGTGATATATTTGGGTGGTCGAGGAAGTCGAAACCACTGGTTGGTCATGGGATTGCAGATGTACAGCTCATCTATGCCCTTACGAACATTCCACTTGTACAGCACAAGCCCCTCGTGAATGGCTTGGATGTCATACATTCTCCCCTTCTTACCTTGCTGCTGCTGAGATTTCGGAATGGGAAGTACACAATAATTAGGGGAAGGGGAGTTTGGAAAAGGATACATAATATCCATTACTTTTTCCTCCCAAAAATGGGTCATCCCACAACCTTCAGCACTCATTTTGTTGAAAATAAAGACCCACGGAGGGCGGCGCAAAACCGAGCCCGAGAAAGCAGAGGCTTGCCAGCCTAGAGAGATGATGTTATAGAAGCGGGCAAAAGAAGGATCCGAGATTAGAGAAAGCCACTGTTTTGAGATACTTTTGCATCGGATAACTATCTTAATTGGGAGCCTGCACACAACTTCAATCAGGAACTACTCAGGCCATAGACCATCTTGAAAACTAATAGTGACCTCAGTATTACTAATGGCTCCATGTTGTGGACTATCAGCAGATTCCAAAATTCTCCTCCTTTTCGAGACATCTGAACCGGTACAACATCTGAGTTTTCCATTGATTTCCATCTCCATCATCTCGCGCATTCTCGATTAACCTATAGAAAAAGAGAGATGTGAATATCAAAATCGTGATCAAAAGGTTTACAAAGTGTTACGCATGTAACCTAGTCTTAGTAACGCAGTAAGTACAACTTAGACCTTATAAATTCAAGTTCACATAGCACAATAACACAATTTGAAGTGACTGATCAAGGTCTTGACGAGGTAGCAGTAAACACTACCCCTTATCACTCATGTCTAAGAATGATATTAGTGTTTCCTACAACTTCCCAGGAAATCTGCTAAAACTGTCTTCCATTACTTTCCAGGACAATACTAGAACTACCTTAGATTGTTTAAATTGAGGTTACAAAATTGTCGACTATGTGATTAAGGTTTCTATCTAAGGTGACGTAAAAGAAACAATGATACTTGCTAGGATTCATATACAGCCAATGACACCTTAATGGAGAATAACTTGCTCGTGGTTAGACTACAATTCAAATCTTTGTTACGAAAGGGTAGAAATTGTAAAAAATTGATCTTTTCTGCTTCTCATAAATATAAATATAATTTATGAAAAACGAAAAAGAGGTACCTTGTTGTCTCAGCGTTTAACCGGCGATAAAGATGAAGAGTTGAAAGGAGCAAATACTCGGACAAGCTCTGTACGAAGGACGGCAGGAGAAGAGTTTCGAGAAAAAAGATGAAGGATAATCGAAATTATAAATAAATTGGCAGCTAAGCAAGCAAACTGTACCATCGCTTTTGGGGTTTAGGGTTAATAACGACTAAAATAAAACCCACTACGTTTACAGATTTTAATAGGGCCGGGCCCATTAGAATAATCCATATTCGGTGGAAAATAAATCTGAGAGGCTGAGAGCCTAGAGGTCCAAGTGCGATTAGTACATATAATCGCAGTATAGTATAATACTAAGTCACTGACTTGATAGACTAAAAATGCCCCCAATTCATGTATGTTTGCAGTGTGAAACGTTTGCTACTCATCAAACAAATGAAATTTGCCTTAAAAGGTGACTTAATTAGCTATAACATCTTTTGCATAAAGTATAGGTTATGTTTTTCAAAAAATATTGGTTTCCTATATAATTAAAATATATGGATAAAATACAGTATAGAATTTCTTGCTATATATTCTGTTTTTTCATTAATTCATAAGTAACTTATATTTGATATTGAGATCCTCAAAAGTTCTATAGAATTATGGTTCATGCCAATTTTGTCAATAAATGGATCCATTTCAATAGCTTTTAAGTGGGGTAAAATATACAGTACCCCCTTGTATTATACGAAATCTGTGCGTTTTCCCCCTGTATTTTAAAAATTGCATCAGACCCCCTTCTATTAATGTTTTGTATGCGCGAAACACCCTAAAACGTCTAAATTTTGGGTGTTTCGCGCATACAAAACCTAAATTGAAGGGGGTCTGACGCAATTTTTAAAATATAGGGGAGAAACTCGCAGATTTCGTATAATACAGGGGGGTTTGGTGCATTAAACCCCTTTTAAGTGGGCGTTGTTAAAAGGCCGGTGCAAAAGGAAAAAAAAAATAACGATAGAAGTTGATAGAATGCTGAGATGATTGGAGGATATATAGATGATTTAGAATCTTGAAGAATTGAAGATTAGGAGACATGATCAACATCATATCTCTTACATGGAGATCCTGGAAATATGCTTTGATGTAGTAGAAACACGATTTTTAGGTCTCTCTTTATATATATTAGTGCATAGCCCGTGTGATGCACATGTAAACAATATGACTTTCATAGTATGTAAAATTGTATTATCACACGTGCATAATAAAATCTACATCTTAAGTTCATATTTTATGTTTTTTAATGGAATAAAACCCTTCATTTTAGGGATCATATGTATTTAATCTGTCCAAATTTATCTACATATCGGCAATTTAAATTTTGAAAGATAACCCGAATCTATGATTGCAAAAAATTGTTAAATATTTAAATCAGCCGCAACTTTAGGCGTATTTTGAAATTTAGAAAAAAATAAAATCATTAATTTAGGGGAAATATGTGATAAATCTATCTAAATCTTGTATACATCACGTTTTGCAATTAAAGTTATTTAATATGGAGATTAAGACATTTTAAATCTATGATTTAAAACAAAGACCATAAAATTTTGATTTGGTATTTTGAAATTTAAAAAAAAAAAATCATTAATTTAGAGAATGATATTTGATAAGTCTATCTAAATCTTGTATACATCACGTTTTGCAATTAAAGCAATTTAAATGTGGAGATTATTCTTATTTCGAATCTCTGATTTAAATAAAGACTATAAAAAATTTGATCATTTCAAAATTAGACCTGTGTATTATTTTTCATTATAAATAAGTGTCAAACAAAACAATTGAATCAGCCGCAACTTCATTCTTTTAATTGAACTGTCCGATTTGATGGTTAGAAAAAATATTTTCAAAAGAAATAAACAAATGATTTTCTTTATATATAATTTTACCCTTAAATTAGTCGTAATTTTCTTTATATTAGCCGATTTTATAGAAAAAAAAAGTTTTCGATATTTTGAAAATACAAAAGTATATTTTTATGGTTAGAAAAAATAACACATAATTTTTTTGTTATTAAATCAGTCGTAAATTTTTTTATTAAAAAAAATGCCAAACAAAGCAATTGTATTAGCCGAATATCGAGTTTTAAATTTGGAGAATATAATTGGCCGATATTTAATTGAATTAGCAGTCGTGACGTACATTTTTATTCAAATTTAAAAATAGCTTCTTGTAACCAATAACCAAATTTAATTGATGCAGCCCGTGCATTATCAGCTTTTGATATGCACATCGTGTCAAACTATCGCAAATATTCAATAGATCAAATTTAAATAGCAGCCCGCCTTTTTGAAAATAAAAAAGTAATAAACTCCTCATTTTAAGGATAACATTTAATGCTATCCGTTTTTTATTAAAAAAAATATTAAAAAGATACTATAAATGGCATGTAATTAATGTTGATCAATTTTGATCAATAATTGACTTACTATTTTTAGGAAATGGTAATTCTTATTATTATTATTATTATTATTATTATTATTATATATATATATATATATATGAGTTTCATATCATATCAAATTCTGATTATCAACTCTACGTGGATTTGATACGGATCAAATAAAAACTTTCGAGACTCATACGTGAATCTGTTTTACATTGACTAATCTTAAAAAGAGATTAAGCACGTGGATTTTATTTTGAAATAAGTAAGAGACTTGATTGCACACGTTTTTTATGGTAATATCAGATAACACCAGAAATATTATATTTTTCATCTATCAGATAACATCAGAAATTTGATATCATATCAAATTCTGATTATCAACTCTACGTGGATTTGATACGGATCAACTTTAAAAACTTTTGAAACTCATACGTGAATCTGTTTGACTTTTGACTAATCTTAAAAAGAGATTCAGCACGTGGATTTTATTTTGGAAATAAATAAGAGACTTGATTGCACACGTTTTTTTATGGTAATATGAATATCAGATAACATCAGAAATATTATATTTCTCATTTTTCACTATATTAAAATCTTTATCATTTTTAGTTTTATATTGTAAAAGATAATTCTATATGTCGATTTTAAATATTTCGAAAAAAATAGAAGACTTTAAGTTTGTATATAAAGTGTCCGTAGTTATTAAATCTATTGAAAGTACATTATGCTCGTTGATATGGATCAGCTTTAAAGACTCTCGAGAATAATCAACTTTATTTTACTTTGAACATTTTTAAAAAAATTTGGACCACGTGAGTTTTTTTTTTTTTTATTTGAAAATGAATAATGTAAAAATTACGCACACGTTTTCATAAAAATTGAATCTATTAACATTTTCATTACATTTGAATCTAATTTGTTTATATTAGTTTTATATTAAAAAGACAATTATATATTTCGACTTAAAATACTCCAAAAATTTTAAAAGATTCAAGTCTTAGTATTCATGTACGACTTAATATTGTACCACAAAATAGTTGTTGTCTTGTAGAAAGTACCTACTACGCAAAATATTATAATTATAATTTGATTAGTTTTTAGTTTTATATTATGTCGAATAGTTATATTATTTGTACATTAATATCGTTATTTTTTTTTATACTTTATAGGTATATTAACGTATCAGTGTGTATGATTGTGATTAATTGAGTTGATTACTAAAGAGAGAACGAAAAATTCCCGTGTACCAACAACAAAATCAAATAAGTTATTTTAATCAACTTAAGTGCTAAAACCATCAAATTTAATAATCAAATAATACTAGTAGCCATTGTAAAAAAATCTATGTTGAAGATGAACAATAGTCATTTATATAATTGCCAAATGATGATAATCATGTATCTTTGTCGTGCCTTTCGCAGGATTTTGCAGCATCCATTGCCGGGAATTCAGAATGAGATGCTTGTTTGTTGAATGATTTGAGTGCGTCCATGCAAGATCAACCTAAATTTAGCAGTGGTCGATCTATAGTTACCAAGGTTGCTATCCAATTCATAATTACAAATACGATAGATACCGTCTTCCTCTAGTTCTTTGCGTATCTTCGGAATATAAACATTGCGTACCAAACTGATGATTTGTGTTCCGTATAAATATAATAAATTAATAGTTAAACAAAATGATAATGTATGTAGTCGAAATATTAATAAATAAAAATAAAATAGAAAAATACCTCCCTATCTTGAAAAAGGATCTGCAAGATGTTGTGTTGGAGACTCGCGCTCAAACATATGAACCACACGAAGTTTTTACGGACATTTAATGTTTCTTTGAATGTCGGTGACGACACCGAAGGGGATTTCCATAGTTTGCTTGGTGGTGTTTTGATATTTGGAAAATGTGTTTTTATAGATGCGTTAAAGGTAATTTTCTCGCTTGAGGATGTTGAATATTTATAGGGTGTATATTCAAAATCCTGATCGCTGATAATAATGCGAAACCGATTCTTAAGGGACTACAAAAACACGTTATTTAAATTATATAGATGCTTCAACAGAATCGTTTAAATTTTACCATCTATCTGGTTAACCTCCTACAGCGGCACTTTTAGGTGGTCCAATCTATGCGTATAATGAGAACGGAATTTGACCAGATAATATCCCTTCAATTAAGGAATTTGGTTCTTTAAACGATATAATAATAAAATAAAATAAAATAAAACTATTTCCGCAATTTCAAAATTTTCAATTATCTGGTTAACCTCCTACAGTCGTTCTTTTAGGTGGTCCAATGTAACAAACTTATAATGAGGAGGGAATTTGACCAGATTATGGTTCAACTATGTTGGTACGTGACATCTTTACAAAAAATAAAAAATTGCCATTAATGGTAAGCAAATAATGAGGAGGGATATTGCCAAATAGTTGACCTACTATTTTTGATAAACGGTAAATCTTATTATATAAGTATAGATATCTCTAGATCTCTATAAATATATAAATGTATAGCTTGCTGAGCTTTACATATCGGTGTATTATAAGGGAACTTTATGGTACTTTTTATCATTTTTGGTGGTTCAGCATGTAGATTTAGATTGTTATCTTTGTCTATTAAAAATATTAAAATTATAACACTTGGTCAATTTAAATTATAAATATATTTTAAAATTTAATAATCTTTTTATTTGTTATCATTTCTTCAAATATAATATATCAATTTAATTATTTTATAATAATTATCTTCTAATAATATTCAATTTGACATTCATATTATACTAATGTATAACTCGTGCGATGCGCGAGATAATAAATCAATCGTATACATTAAAGTAGGGAAGAAATATCGATTAGTATAAAAATTATTTCGAATATTAATATGAATTTTTATCTTTTCTTTTATTTTTATGATATATATATATGTGTGTGTGTGTGTGAGAGAGAGAGAGAGAGAGATTTATATTTGTACTTCATATGTTATAAAATAGATGTCATTTTATAATTTATGTTTAAAATTGAGGTACATGTTTGTCCCATTTTTGTTGCCTTTTTCGTGTTTATTTTACCTTTCTTTTTCTCCCGTTTTAGGTCGTTTCTTTAGTTTTTAGTCCGTTTCGTGTTTTATTATGTGTTTTCTTTCATTTTGAGTCTTTAGGTGTTTTTTCGTTTGTTTTTCCGGTTTTCTTCGTGTTTTGTCGTTTTTGGTGTGTAGGTCGGGAGCTTCGGGCGAATTTTATCTTCAAGAAAAGTTGATTTCGAGAGCACAATTGGATAGATGGGTTCGTTAGTGACGCGTAGCAAAAAGCGGAACTCAATTCCGAGTTCGGATGAGCCCAAACGAGCCCGAAACGTAAAATGGCGCAGTGCAGTCCAAAGTTGCGAGTCGCGAGAGAAAAGTCGCGACTCGCGACTTTAACAGAGCCTCCGACCAGCTGCGCGACCCCACGACCCGTCCGACTCGCGACTCGCGAGTCAACTCGCGAGTCGCGACCTGTTCGACCCTGTTTTTATTTTTCTCCGTTTTTACTCGTTTTAGCTCCGTTTTTCGAGCTCTATATATGAAAACGAACCCCCAGACCTAAGGAACAATCCCCAATATCGTTCCTTTCAATTTTTCTCTCCAAAAACTCAATATTGTTAGGATAAATTTCTCCGCTTTTTTTTTTTTTTCTCTCATGCTTGGATTGTTGGACACAAAGTTATTTGGATTGAAATCTTGCAACTCTTAATCCGATTGTAAGTTTTTCAATTCTATTTTATTATTGTTGATTGGTTTTATGTTCTTAATTCCGGTTAACATGAAATTGAATCTAAGCATGAGGTAATCCATTCACCTAGGGTTAGGGATTTTGATTCTTGTTTTGAATTATGAGGAATGTGTTTTGTTCAATCTATACGAGTTGTGTGAATTATATGGTTAGTTGATTGATCACCATTCTAACCTAGTTAATCGACGTTTAGAACCGAGAGGGGAGACGTCGGTCGATTTAGGCTCGTATAGAGTAGACATGTTCGTAAAAGTATTGTCTATGTGTTGCTTGTTTGAATGAATTTATCGTTTATGTTTGTGCTCTTGTTACGAAGAGTTATTGAGCATAGTCCTCTAGACGTGTAGGCTTGTTTAATCTCGTAACCGAACAAATTAGCGTTCAACATAGTTTAAGACTTGATGAGATTTCCCGACCCCTAGAACTTCTTCTTTTTCTCTAGAAATTTAATTGTTATTTCTTTAAATTGTTTTTCTAGTTCTAGATTGTTTCAGTTGATTCCCTAAATCAATCGTGATTAGAGTGTTTAGGACTTATTTTTTTTTCGTGTGTGATCAAGACCAACGCTAAATTCCGAACCGTCTTCCTCGAGAGATCGACCCGGGGAACGAATCTTTTGATTCGGTACTCGGTAAAAACATAAAATAATTTGCTACAACAGTACATGAAAGATTTATATATTCAAACATTTTCAATAAATAATACTCACAAAAATGTTTCATTCTCTTTTCTTACTCACAACTTATTACAATATATTTTTCTAACTAGTACGTGGCTCGTGCGATGCACGGGAAAATAATATTACGATTGGATTATAAATTAAATATATAAATAACATTAATCATGATTTATCCATTATTTTAAATTAAACTAAGTTAGAAACAATCTGACTGGATGGACCGAGAACCGATTTATAACCAGTCTAGTTCGCTTGAATAAAATATTTGTTCTCGAATCCGTCAACACCAGTCGGTTGGACTGGTAGGACCGATACGATTTTCTAAATAAATTTTGTTATATTTAAAGTTATTTTAAATAAAATTACATATTTAAATAAAATAGAGATTTATAAATTATTTATCAATTAGTTAAAACATTTGAATTTATTAACTGTTTAGACATCTAAGTAACACATTTTATTTAAATTTATTACAAAAAGTACTATATATATATATATTAAAATATTTATAAATTAAAATCTAAACAAACCACAAATGATTTAATAAAATAGCATGATCGTTTCGATGACGGTTCAGTTCTGAAAACCTTATATTTACTGTACATTAATAAATATTATAATAAAAAATTATTTAATTCACATAAATATTAATAAAATGATATATAAATATTCATAAATCATTAAACATGTTGTCATAAAAGTATTGTTAATACGACTATTTGAAGTTTGGACTACACCACATTCACGAAATAAAATATATTCAATATAAAATTTATATTTAAGTTCAATAATCGATTTGGTATGGTCGAACTGATACATAACTTAGTCACTTGGGACCAACCAAGTGGTGTCAATTTTTTTTTTACTATTTTAAATTTCACCTAAAAATAATTCAATCAACCTGGGCAGTACCCTAATTCAAACCCGAGCGATCTGAAGAAATTTTCTTATTTTCTTTAAATATATTTAATTTTATGAAATAAAACTATTTTATGATTCATATAATAAATGTCTGCACCAAATGATAGTATATTAAGATTATAAATTATATACCTAAAGATGAATTAATTATTTTTACTTTATGCATATTAATAAAAAATAAACATAGTAATTTTCAAAAAATTAAGATTAATTGATTGATTATGCAATTTAAAGAATATTTTTAGCTTTAAATATTATTTTTAAAGGCACAAATATAAAGACCGAGATTCTAAAACTTTTGTTATATTTTGAATTGAGATTTTATAAGTATAGAGATCGAGATTTTAATGTTGTTCGTTGTTTCTAAGAAAAAAATAAAAATAAAAACATACACACTTAATAAATATTAGTCGGATTTTTTAAATAATAAAATGAACTAAATCCCGAAATTTACGGTAGCATTTAATGATGTATGATTTTTAAAGGAAAAATAAGAAAAATAATAAAACTTACTATTTATAGGCTACATTAAATTCTGACATATTTTTTTGCTACTATTTTTGGTAAATGGTAATTCTTATTATATATATAGAAGATTATTGCTTTATAAGTAAAATTGACTGAATTTGTTGTCTTTTATTTTTTCGTCGATGGATGAATGGGTGGATGTGAATAGTTATATTTGTTGTATATTTTTTTTATATGAATGGAATGTTATGTATTAATGTTGCTATGTATATAGTGCTAGTGATAGTCTAGATTAACGTTAAACAATGACTAAATTAGAAAACATTAAAAAAAAATAAGTAATTAAGTAAACAATGATAAACTGCTTTTATTTATTCTAGCAGTCTGCATGTGCGTATAAAATATGTAAAATTCATATTTTGATATGGATTGTATTATGAGGAATCAACAAATTCCTTTATTTTAGGACATATCAAATTTCAATTTGTATTTCAAATTAGATTCCCAAATTTGTAGGCTGCCTAAGTCATAAAGGCTGATTCGGCTTATTCAGTTTTATGTACAAAAAAAAAATTAAAAAAATCCGAATTTAATGGTATGGACATATGAGATTGTATGATGAGGGAATAAACAAATTCTTTTATTTTAGGATATATCCGATTTCAATTTGTATTTCAAATTAGAACCTAATTTGTAGGCCTCCTAATTCATAAATGATGATTAGTTGAAAAAAAAAAAGAAAAAAAAATCCAAAAATAGTAAGCAATTAATGTTGTCCTAAAATTTCTAGTTACTATTTATGGTAAATAATTATTCTTATTATATATATATATAGATTATTAAATAAATTACAGTAAAGCTGAAAAATTGTTGCAAATATTACGACTGATACTTAATTTAAAAAGAATGCAGTGCATATTATTTTAAAATGTGATATACATTTAATAAATATCAATAATTTACACTAAATGCCAAGTGACCTTTCACCTGGCCTGATCTGTACTCCCTTTCAAATAATCTGCATAATAACGACATGATATTATCCTAAAACCTTTGACACTATCTGTTATTAGCTCAACCAAACAATCTGAGAGAGAGGGCAAACAGATGCTTAGAGGAAGTACATTTTGGGGGAAGGAACAAAAAGATTAGGCAGCCAAATAAGTACCCATATTATAAGAGCTACCAAATTGATTGATCTTATGGAAAGGGTGTATCATTAGAATGGAATACTGATTGATCAACACACCAAACATTAAAATGGTAAGTAATTTCAAATTTTTTTTTATAGAGAATTGGACTGTGTTTTCGATAATTTCGCGGGATAACTAAGCCACTGCAGAATGGAGCAAAAACTTGAAAAGAGCAACTAAAATGCGGCAAAACCCACTTCTCAGAATGACTTGATTACAAGGATTACAATAGCAGCTCCGCACAATTAAATAGAAATATATATAGAAATAATGAGAGGTAACAACAACCCTTTTTTGCAAGAAAGGATTTACCCATAATTAGCACTATACTACTATTCCTTGTTCCTTGATGACCTGTCCTTCCTGTGTCCGCCAAGAATACGCGAGATCTGAAGACCTCTGCTGAAGGCTTGGTTGAAAAGCATTCGCGTTTGGAATTCCGAGACAAATGGGAACCATGCAAGAAAAGCCACAGGTGTGAACAGAAGCAAACCCATCATGATTTCATACCCGCGGGCCAGAGTTCTAACCGAACCCCAGAACCCAGCTTTTTGGACCACCGGTTTGCATGCTTGTGCAATCTGAGGAAATAGGAAAAGAAAAAGAAGAACAAAAATATGTAGTCGGTTTAGCTTGTAGGAAATGGTTAGAGTTTTTAAGCTAGCTTGGATAGTTTAGGCAAAATCTTAAAGTACACACTATACTAAAAATTGTATGGTTGTTTATGAAATGCGAATAGCTTGACGAGTGTAAACGGATATGAAAGGAAATATTACGAACCAGTAGCAAACCCCAACCAGTGGGCATGAAGGCGAGTATGCAAACCACAATATCTCTTGCAGTCATGTGTGGTAATGCAATCAAAATAACAAGGATAGAGATGAATGTGACGAAAATCAAACCCTTGATGAGCCGGAAGACAAGTTGAAAGTTTGCACTGAATTTTCTCCGTCCAACAGAAATTGTCTGAAAGATATCAATTAGAATTGTAGGTCAATAAATGCGACTAAAATTAATCCTCAATAAAGTTTCCAGAAATTCACTGGAAAAATGAAGAATAAAAATATAAGCTGAGACAACTGAATACAATCTGTACTCACCTTCATAACAAAGAGTATCACAAAGATCACTAGCCACGACAAGCCATACACCTGTAGCCAAATCCAAAGATACTGTAAGATTCCACCACCCTAAAGGCTAAAAACTACAAAAAGTGAAAAAGTTCTGGAGGCTGAGAAAATTTTAGCAAGAAAATACATACGTAAACATTTTGGTTTGTTTTGGTGATGTTCAGGTGATAAACAAGCCCATACTGATAAATGAAAAACCTTAACGCCAATACTATCTCAGCAATAATACCACGCTTCCCAGAATGACGCAAATGATCTTGCTCCTCTTCCCACCATGATTCCCAACTCTTCTCCGGAGGCACACCAATGCCACCCCTATTACTAATCCACTTATTCCAATCAGTCCAATCATCAACAATCTTTTGCCACTCGAAACCCGAAGGATTAAACAGGAAAGGAGCAAAAAGCCAGGTGCCGACCATAAACCACATAGACACGGTGATTAAGATATACGCTACAGCACCTCTGTAGGACTGACCGAATATTTGATAGACAAGAAGCAGTATCATTAGCTCGAGCCCCTTGACAAAGTGACTACGAGAATACAGTCTATAATTATCTGCAAATTTGGCATGGAACACGACAAATCCACGGCCCGTGGCCCGATATTTTGCACCACCATGAAGTAATGTCCTCCCATAATAATGGGTTTTTGTCCCAAGCGAAAATGTGAAAAATACAGGCGCAAGTTGCAGTTGCATGAGTATGAACTCGCTTAGTGCTGTTCGGAAACCCTTTTCTAACCCAATTTCCATCATCATAGGGAGAGCCATTAGAAAACCGATCTGCACAAAAGACTGAGAGGCAAGAGCAACTTCGAGAGATTTATTCTCTCTTATTTCGCGGTTGCTAGTAAGTCCCTTTTCTAAACCACTAAGAACAAGATAAAGGCGACCATAGAGAAATACGTATACAGTGAGCACAGTTATCTGTCAGAAGAAATGACAAGGTCAGAAAAGTGGAAAAAAAACCTAAAAGCAACTTTTAGATGATATTGTTTGTGTTATATGTACCAAGGTACTGAAGTAGAAACCAATGGTCGTGAAATAGCATGAAAGCATTCGGAAGAAATCAAAGCGATGGCCCAGCCTGTACAGATCACGACTCAATGTTTGTTCTCCATTTCCATTAGCAATTTTCGCTTCAAAAAGAGAAATCTGGTTAAGACCCACATCCCTGCCTTTACCAACTTGTATGTATTCATGATGAGTTACATTGCCTTCACGGAGAGTAGAATTGAAGCCTGCATTTGAGTCATAGTAGTAAGTCGAGCTACTATTATTGTCCATATAAAGGAAATAAATAGTTTTAAAGGACAAAATTACGAACATACCAGCAAATATGTCCTCACTGAGGTTGATAATCTTGGAGGCTTTGCTCACCCCGCCTCTTGTAAGGTGAAATAGTCTATCAAAAACGTCTGGATGACCATAATGAAACCGAACCCTGAATGAAGAAAGAATAGTTCAAGACATTTAACTCAACTAACTCGATTGTAAAGAATGAATTAAAAAATTTAAATAGATACAAAAGATAAAAAAGGAACAAATAAAGGAAGGAGAGGGGGAAAAGAACATTATTAGAACTTCACAACAATAGAGAATAATTCGTAGTACAACAATGTCAAATCAGTTTATTTTTATTTTCCTAATTTATTATTTTCTTGAACGCTTTGATACCATTATAAATATCATTTACTGAATGAAAAGGGTTAAGCCATAAAAATGAAGAAAGAAAAATTAAGGAAAAAGAACTCACTTGAGAGGATTGGCCAACAATCTCTGACCAATAGTAACGAAACTTGTCTCTTGATTAGACATAAACCAAGCAAGTGAAGAAACACTGCATTATGCAGTAAACAATGATGCAGTGAGATTAAGGCACGGTCAAATAGTTATTTTTTCAGTCAGGAATACTGATTTTAACGTAGTGGTTCACCTTCCAGTGAAAATATGTTCCCTCAGTCCAAGAATTGATGGGTGCCTCAGATCGTGCCTTTTAAGAAATTCTTGAAGCAAGTTCCTCATTTTTAGAGCTTCTTCCATGTAATTATCCTAAAGCCAGATTATCATGTCAGCACTTACAACAATAATTTAAAAGCCACATGAGCAAAAAATCACATACCTGATTCATATCAATTGTTTGTAAGCCTTCTCCACGAGTGAAAATAATTGCATGATTCTGATTTTCAGGCTTCCCCTCTCCCAGGATAGCAGGGCCTGGAAGCTTTATTCGATAGATAATCTGACAAATGAGCAAAAAAAATTATCAGATGAATTATGTTAATTTGTCAACATAATTTCTGCACATAATGCAGTGTGAAAGATTTTACAACATAGGAGAGCGGATTACAACTGAAAGAATAGAAGCCAGTTTATAGTTAACTGAGCCTCTAATGTGGTGCCTTCTTATATATTTCTCTTCACCTGATCCAGATTCTGTCCAGGCTCTGAAGAATCTGATTTCGGCAAAGCTGCTTTTACAAGAGTGGAGTAGTACACTTTATCATTAACCTTCTTGGTCCTATCTTTACTAGGCTCTTCAACTTCATCAATATATGCTACCCGAAGAGATGGATATCTGGTTGAGAAACAGAACATTAGGAGATATTGGTTCTACTAGACATACAGTTTTACACTTCTGATGCTTACGTGGTCATGAGTCTCAATATATCTTGTGCTCGAGGATCTCCAGACCGTTTTTGAATCCCGTATAATTGGCAGGACACGACATAAGTAAACTTCATATCAGCTACTGCTTGACATTGTGTCCACAGGGACCTCTCTCCCTTCATTTGATCTTCATTCAGTTCAATGGCCTTGTAACCTTCCATTAAATCTGTTTAAATGGAAAGGAATAGCCACTTAGATTACATAATAAACCGTTGCAAGTGCATGAAGTGCAGACTGATTTTTATACAAGGTTTTAATTCAAATAAGTGCATGCAGAAGATTTACCATCATCCTTAGCCATATCAAGGAATGCCTGAAGTTCAAGAGCTTTGCGATAATACATCATTCCTCTGACTGCAGCGATTTGAAAAATGCATCAGTCCACAAAAGAAGAAAAGGCAAGNCAACATAGAATGCTTCAGTTCATCGGTACCAGTTTTGGTCAGTGTTTGGCCTCGGTATGACGCCCAAAGACGTAACTGTTCCTCCAATTCATCCCTAAGTTCTTCTTCATTGTAACAGTTGACACGCTCCAAGAAGTTATTCCATTCATCTATGTGATATATGGCAATTCATGTAAGGTTGGAAGAGAATGCAAAATGTGATAAACACCAATAGTTTCAAAGTACAAACCTGGAAAGATTTTCTGCAAGTAAAAGAGAATAGAAACACCATCTTCATTCGGTACTTCTAGCTCAGGCAATGAGAATAGAACCTCCTCCGTGTAATATGGAGTCAGAACACTTCAGAATTAACAGCGTTCAAGTCAGTAAAAAGAAAATGATTATTAGGATTTCCAAGTTCAGTGTCTCGCCGTGAGCATGAAGTCCAATCGGGGAAACAGACAAATGTTGATATGGTCAATGAGCTACTGAAAAGATAAAACGGGCCCTAAAGGTAAAACTGCCGAGATTTACAAGGGTAGGTCATAACCAAAAATATCTTCCAAATGGTACCGCCTTTAATAATCTATTGAACACCACAAAATCCAGCCCAACAGTTATTGCTTAACTACCATCAAACACAAACGTTGATTGATTCCGAATTCAAGAATTTCCTTAATATCAAACTAATTTAATCAAGAAAACAGTACCCAGTACCCAAAATTTATATGCCAACAGAATGTTATTCACCTAGTGTAGTTCAAGCTTTCGAGAATGATGTCACAGTTTTTGCCCATCCAAAGCTCATCTAAAACTGAACACTAGTTAATTCCCCTTACTTAGCCCATCATAGCACCTTCAAGCACATTCTTTGGGCCTAGAACGCATCTAACAAGGATGCATCTTTTGCTCAATGTATCTCCATTTTCTTTGGCATAAAAGTCATAGCAGACTAAAAACTATAATAAGATAAAATAAATGTAAAGGGCACATGCTGACCCTACCTACTTTACCACTTATGAATGGCCAAATCACATCTACAGTACCGTGCAGAAATAAAATGAAGTGAAAGAGATCAGCACAAACAACTCACGAGAAAGAAAGCATGTTGCGGACTTTAGGAGCTGAAGGCATGTCCATAAACAAGGAATTAGAAAAAAATGAAATGCGCCTTCTGGCTTCTAAGTTTGATGGCACATCCATGGCAGATTCCTTCACTGTCAGCAACAAGTACAACCTCTTGATCTGTGTGAAGGGCAAAATCACATGTTAAGCAATAAAAATGTTAAAAGAATTATCAGTGAAAGCAAGTCCAATGTACATGCCTTCTCTTTCCAAGCTTCAGTTTCAGGAGCTGGAAATTTTATGGCACCAGCTGATGCAAACAACTGATACTGTTGATCAAGAGGGACCATTCCTTCATTACCCGCTCCGCCATGAATTGAGTCCAACAAACTGTTCAAAGGAAAAATACTGAAATAAGAACCTATCAAGGCCTAAAATTTGGTAATTGCTTAATGAAAGAAACATTACTTGGATACATGGTCTTCCAGCATTATATCTCGAGTCACAACTTCCAACATGTCCTGGAAAAGAATGACAACTTGATCCCTATCCTCTGGCTTATTCTCCAGCTGCAAAAGAGGACCAATTCAACATCAAATTCACACATCAACAAAATCAGAAAAAGAACATTTTAGCCATAGACATAGTAGCAGCGCACTACTGAAACAAACTTACCAAGTATTTTACAAGCTTGACAAAGAGATCATACAAACTTGGAAGAGCATTCAGCCTGTATTCAGTCAATAGATTGTCCTCCTCTATATGTTTGTCAACTTCAGAAAATATATACTCAATCACCCTGTGAAATTTCATAAGATGATTAAACAATGAGGAAGATGAGCAGGGGCTCAAACTACAAGCAAAAATATACGTACTCTTTCTCTCGGTTTCCACGAACTAGTAATTTAACAATATTCCGGAACGAAGCATAGCACTCGCAGACAGCAGAATACATATAATCATCTGACTTGATCCGCTTTTTGAGTTCGCTGTCCTTGCCATTGCTGTCTTTAGCCATATCCACAGCTATTGGGATCTATATTTATTAACAAAACCAGTTACCAAGAGAAAAGTATGACCACTGACCACTACTAATCAAACACTGTTGTGATTCAGAGACGGAAAATAAATCAAATATTGTGTATTTAATCATCATATAACCTTTATCCTCCATCAACACATTGATTTTCTTAAGAATATTTGATTTTCACACCTTAAAACTGTTAGAAATAGAATGTGAATATTTTAGCTCCAGTTCTGGTTAGCATAAGTAGAGGATACTTGATTTCAAATCTCTAGATTAGTTTTATTCTATTGTTTATATACACAGAAATTATTCTAATGCACCTTTCATTATTCTAATACACAGAAATTCAATTACTTAATCTACTTCTTATCACAAAAACAATATATAGTTTAATTGAACAAAGGTCTAAGTACTTTGAAGATGTTTGTCCATAACAATGCCACATTAGATGCCGATTCTCTCATTGATCTTGACACCCGGGGAAAGAAAAAAATAGCCCCACATGCCATATTTTATAGATAATCCTTTGAACAAAATCAACAATAATGTTCAATGACATAGATCAGGTTGGTTTGCTGGGCATGCCTAAGACATAAGGAAAAACTAAACTTCTGCATGGTGGGAATGAATCTAATAGAAGGGAATAAATTATTAAATAGAAACCTTGCTGGCGAGCAAAAATGGAGGCCACTGCATCAGCTCCAAATCACGATCAGCCCAATATGGAACAAGCAACAGATCCATTTCCCTGTTAACCACGTAAGTCAAGCAACCAATCAACAAATGCCATATATGTCTCATCCTTAATCCTTTTTTGTACATAAATTGATAATGAGAAAGAAATACAAAGTCAATGTTGTCTGGTTCACAGATTTAGTCCAAAGATCACCTATTACTTATAAGATCCTCCTCTCTAAAACTTGTAATTATTTTGTTCCACAACTGAGCAAACCTTGCAGCTTCTTTTTCCTTACTAGAAGGTATCTGAGACCAATAGGCGACCAGATAAAGTCAATTGCACAACTAGTTAATATTTTAGTAAAATTAAATTAAGAGAACTAATAAAAATATTCTACCACATCAAACTTGCGTGAGAATGTGGCTTTCAGTCCTTTCTTTTTAGTTGCCTCAGCCTTCTCCTCGGGGATTAAACAGGCATTGAAAGCACCAGGTAAAGATTGAAACCGGGATCTAAGCATTCCTAATGTACGTATCTGGAATAGAAAATGATTGCAGGTCAAGCCCCAAAGATATAAATTGTCAATCTTAAAGCATAACCTCACACTGAAAAACTGTTCACTCAAGCTTCGATTTCAGAGTAAATATCTTCACCAAATTCATACAATTACTGACATCAGAATGCAATGAACTAACAATAGAAATATTCATTTTCCAAGTGAAATAGTAACACAATGCCCAAATTCTTTAGTATTTTCTGGCAGACTGGCACAATCATATTGTTTTATTTCTGGTGATATTACTATATTTCACGCAATTTACACTGACAAAACTTTTCTTTTCCAGAGTGGTAATAAATATAAGTTACTGATATGCAGCAGCAGCAAGCAACACATAATGCTTTATTAATATATTTACGTATGCTCATTGTCTCTTTCATATCCAAAAAATGAACAAGGGTTATGTTCGGCTAGGAGACTAGCCATTCCTCAACAAAGTACACGTATACACTAACTCAACACTGTTGACAATTTGCAAAAGATTATTCAATTAAAGTTGGTATTCACTGAACTATTGCTGAAGAAAGATTCTTCTGACCTCTCCAAGGCGACGGAATGCGCCATATATACCTCCAAACAATGTAGAGAAAATGGCATACCAGATCTGTGTATCCATGAAATAAACCTGAAACGAAAGAGTTCATAAATTCCTGTTTCCAAACAGAGTGGAGAAATAATGAAATGCTATACAGACTGCTGCAGGTATAGCATTGAAATGTAAAATATGATACTGAAAGCAACGCATGATCCATACAAGAATAACTGGCGCCCATAGTGCAATTACGACACCGATGTTGTTTTTAGCTGCAAATACAATGAAGAAATTCAATAATTGGTCAGCAAAATCAGTGTCGATATCCATGTCCAAGAGCTGCTCTGTTTGTTCTTGTATGGCCACATGAAATAACTTAGCTCAGGATAAAAAATCCATTTGAGTACCTCGGGGGAAAAACTCATGCCACTGATAGTTTGATATATGAATTCCCATTATAGTTTGTGTGGGATTCACAAGAGGCTTGATCTGAAATGAAAGTCTTGGTGAATGATATTAGTATTCATATCATCATGGTGACGGAATACAAGAAAATAAATCAGCACAGTAACACAACCCAAACAGTATAAGAACCTCCCCGAATGCCGTAAAAATGATCTCTAAAATCAGTCAATGAAATGAGCTAAGAGCCTTAACCGTGAATCAGTGGGAAGAAATGAGAGAAATAAATTAGAAGACAAAAATCTCAGCATGAAAAGCATGAATACAATTGGCTCAACCAATACATAAAGATAATAAATTCATCATAGAGCAATAAAAATGGAATTAGGCACGCACCTCGATATAAAAGCTGCATGCCAACTTTGTAGTGAGAAGCAGCACCCAGAATAATGTATACCTGAGAATTTGAATCAATAATTAAGCGTCATGAGTTAAAATTTTGTCAACAATAAAGTTCTGCTGGTGAGGCCTTACTTGAAGAGTGAAAATGTGCTCTCATGCATTCCCCTTCCTACATAGAGTCGGGGCTGCAAGGTATCAAGTGAGAAACATAGTTTACCAACTAGAATTCAACTGATACAGAAAATGGCTTATACGCAAAAAAAATTGTTATATTACCTGTGACCACCACATCATTAGCATCACAATTCTGTAGTTGGAACTCTCAAGGAACCGACGAATGAAGGGGAAGAGGAAGAGAATCACAGCAAGCATATTTGGTGACAAGTAGATAACAACAGCTAGGATAAACAACGAAGGAGCACTTGAGCTATTTCCAAACCAGCTTTTGATAGTTTGAGCAAATCCAGGAGGATTCTCCCATGTGTACGCATAAGTAACAGGGAGGATAATCACCCATGAAGCAGCAGAAACAACCTTCAGTATGTACCGTAGTTTGACGTGGAAGGACATGGTCCGTCTTGCTTTCCAGCTCAAAATTACATCAAGTATGGCTGTAAATATATAGTTGAATTGATATCACAGTAAGCAGAGTACAACTTTTGGCATGAATATATATATATATATATATATATATAGAGAGAGAGAGTTGAATATATATATATATATATATATATATATATATATATATATTCAGTAAGAGTACATGACTAGACATCATAAGCATATAGCATAGATCTAGTGCACCATCAAGAACATGACCAAAACCAAAGAGGGCGAGCACACCATAAGAGGGCGAGTCTAGGTGTACCTAAGTGAGATTTCATCCCAAAACCAATTGGTGATGGGAGGAGTAGTCCACTAGGCTTATAAACTAGGTCCATTTACCCTATCGAATCAATGTGGGATAACTCACAAATGATATTCCAACACGAGCCCTCACTTGTGAGTCCTTCATAGGCCCAAGTCCCAAATAGATTAAATCATCGCAGGTCCTAGATCAGACCCGCTTTGATACCATGTAAGTGTTATACATTTGGGGAAAGGTGCGATCCCACAAGAGTGACGCGCACCATAAAATGATGAGCCTAGATGCACCTAAGTGAAGTTCCATCCCAAAACCAATAGGTAATGGGAAGAGTAGTTCACTAGGCTTATAAACTAGGTCAATTTACCCTATAAAATCAATGTGACAACTCACAAGTGATATTCCAATAGAAAACACCAAAGGTTATTTAATATTTTCCATTTCAACACTAAAACTTTCAGTAATTAGAAAACTTGGCCAATTCAAATATCAAAATCAGAATATTGATTACTATCAGATTTATAGAATTGGGTGCGGCCCCACACAGGTGAAGAGCACCATAAGAGGGTGAGCCTAGGTGCACCTCAGTGAGATTCCATCTCAAAACCAATTGGTAATGGGAGTAGTAGTAGCCCACTAGGCATATAAGCTAGGCTATTTTCCTATATAATCAATGTGAGATAACTCACAAGTGATATTCCAACAATTACCATTATCATTGTCTTGCTTTCAATTACGAAAGCACCTTCAGTTATTGATAAATAGGCCTGTGTAGACCTCATCCCTAAAAGCTAGTTAAGGTGCCTATGCCACACTTCTACACAATAACAGCCCAATATCTAATCCATGTGGGACAAACATAACTTCTAATCCATGTGGGACAAACATAACTTCTAACAGTAAACATAAGAGATAAGATTATCCCCGTCGACTTTCAGAATGCATAAGCTAGATCCATATGCTAACAGCCTAAGAAGAGGCTTCGAAGACAAAAGTAGACCATTTCATATGCTATTGCAATGGAAAGGAAGATGTCAAAATACCTTGCCCAAGTTTCAAAATTGCAGCAGTTATGAAGATGCTCAGTACTTTCTTGAAAACATCAGCATCAAAAATCCCACTTGGCTGCCCCGTACCATTCCAGGCAATAATAATCATAGCCTTGATAGACAACACAATTCCCATAGATAAAAACATGAGTAATTTCTCAAAATAGCAATTGGTGCTAGTAACATGAGAGAAATTTAAGAAATAAAACCTGCAGGCACAATATAAAGAAACTCCACATTCTGTTGAAGCTTCTAAAGATATGCCAATATGATCGTATTTCAACAAAATCAACTTTCCCCACCCATCGATCTCTCCCAGGTCTAGTTTCCTGAGGTAACAGACAATAACATGCATTCATAATACAAACTACAGATAATCATATTGCAGGAAATCCATCGGAAAACATGCTAAATGTGCTTATATAAAAGAGATTATGAGTAAACTTAACCATTCAAAATAAGGTACATGAGAACTTGGTGAAAAAATAATGAATGACAAGAGATCGAGCATGTAAAGTTTTCCTAAACATAGAAAGCTGATCCAGGACCACAGTTTCTCTTGTATTTGTCATGGATTACGTACAGTTTAACAAGGCACAAGTACAATTAGCAGTGGTCTAAAGACCTGGAAAGCCTAGGACCAAGTTCACTTAGTCTAAGAGCTGGTGAAAGTCTGACTTTTGGGTCACATTGACAGCGCCATAATCTAAACTTACTAGGGAAATCATATTTTCTATACAAGATAATATAACTCAGAAATATTCACTAAATCACTGGGATTTTCCAGATCCAGACTCTCCCTTATTGGTCATGCACGTTGGAGTTGCATCGTTAGCAACTTCCCACTATACCCTTTCCTTCTTTCTCTTCGTTCACATCTTTCCTTCCTACTCCTAGGATTCACACATGTTCTCACTCTGAGCCACAGATAATTTGATTGTTCTCCCATAAAAATTAAAGCAATAGAGAAGATTTCTACCTTGGGATTCAATTTGCCAATGTCAGTGTTAAATTTAAGAATTCTCAATAATGGTAAATTGTGCATGTCCAAATGGCTTCAGGTATCATATACCACAACACAAAGGTCATGACTATGTTCCATGGACGAAGAAGAAGCATTAGGAAGAGAGAGATGAATCGGTAAAACCATGTACAAGCGAGGCATGAAGAAGTCCATCGAAGCAGCAAAAAAACAGATTGTTCATCATTAGTGCAATTGAATTTTCAGATCTATGTTCTATCTCCCATCTCCAAAGTTCATTCCGATACATGTCCAAAACAAGATGAGAAATTCTAATGCGATACTCACCCCATTATTTTCACTCTGTAGCTGATCCACAGGCTTACAGAAAAAATCAGCATCAGCACGCATTGGCCATCCCAAACGAAAACAATCTACAGACCTGCATATATAAATGACAAGTAAATACCTTTATAAATGAACATGTATGTATCCTAATAGTAAAAATTTTATTACCAGAAGTACTCATTCAAATCATCATAATTTCTCCATTGAGAATGTTTTGATTTGACCTTTTTGCTTCTCGCTGCTTCCTGAAATTATTAATTGTTAAATTAGGGTAAGAGTAAAAAAAATATCACTTTAAGTGTGATAACAATGATTTGAAAATTAATCCAGCTGTTCCAGGTTGTACCCGAGCAATGACTTCATAAATTGGAGTGACAACTTTCTTCAGGAAAGCCTCTTCGTCTCCTCCATAGGCGGGTTTCACGTTTTCACCAGTCATTGGACTTACATTTCCAGCGAGCATACCATAAAGTTCAAAAGCCATCTGAAATTATAATACCCAAAAATATTAACTATAACCCAGTTAATAATAAATTTCATTCAGATATTAAGATGATCCGCCAAACCTTAAAAAAATAAGAAAGAAATAAATATCAGCAATAAGTACTTCAGATTAATTCCTGTCCGACTGTAAACGAAAGAAACATCTGAAAGCATACATGGTGATATATGTAGCACAGGCATTCTGGCAGGAATCTAAGATTGGCAGCTTCCCCCCATATAAGAAGATACAGGCCCATATATAATAATTTACGCTGCTGCACTTCCTGCTGGATAGTGGGTAGCCTGAATTCAAGTATAAGTGATAAAATATCAGCAACCATCTACAGGTGTCTCAGTTTCAGTAGCATAGTGACGAGCTATATTACAAAGCCAAACTTTGTAGACGCGGAACTTTAGAATAATCAAGCCACTTTGAGTTAATAGAGTAGACAGAACAGAGAATACCATTATCTTGATGACAGCTTTCTAATGAGAAACGTACCATAGGCTACTTTTTCGATCCAGATATTTGCACCACTTCTTGTAATTTTTGAAAAGCTTCTTCATCACTTCATCTAGAGCACGCTCATCCAACTAAAAACACAAAAACTGGTCATAATGAGTAAATTTGCCACAGGAAAATGAAAAACAAAAATGAACATGAACAAGAAAAGCTGGTGATGTCAANNNNCAGACCAACAATGAAACATAAAATATATTTTGATTCACAATCCTAAGAAATGAAAGAAAAGAACTCCAGATCACACAATTGCATTGATGCAGAATGAACTGTGAGGGAAATGATAGTTACTTTATAGTCCATCACAATTTTTTCATTGACTTCCACGTTATAATTCATTTGAAATGGGTTTTTTCAACACTTTCTACACCATTTTCTCTGTAAATTATTAAAGAGAAAGTGTAGGTGAAGCTACTGGCTTTATCATATTTGAGTTAGTGGAAGCGCAATAATGCAAGTGAACCACAAACCCATATCAGGTGCTGGCGGGAGAATGTTAAGAAATATAAAAATCACCAGAAGACAAACCTTGGGTTGTTGATCTGGTTTTGGAAACTGCCGTATGTGAACATTTGCCAGTAGCAAAATTAAATGTTCCCTTTGATTTGCCACATTGTCTTTCTGCAAATTAATTAACCATAAAAAGCAATTAGGTGAGCTGTGAAATTATATCTGAAATCACGCAATGATAATCACTACTTGAGTCATCCGCTGCATGAAATGCGTAACAGCAAGTTAAAATTATCATCCCAAGATGCAGGACTAGATGTACCGAAATACAAGCTACTTCACCTGAAATCCAAACATAGATTGAAGCCAGTCAAGGATATCCTCATCTTTTTTCTTCTTATAATCCTTTGGCCAAGGAAGACCTCTTGTATTCCGAAGTGCATGCACAGCGGCTTGAATCTGCAAATTACAATGAAGTCCAAGTAAAATATAAAAGTACAATTAATAATAAACAGAAAGTAATTAAACCAAAGTAAACTTCATATTGACCTCTGGATATTTCATTATTGCCTGATTTGCACTGTCAGGATCAAGAGGTAGAATGTTATACGGTACATATATCTCAGTCTTCTCTGCAACTTTATCGTGAGTTTCCAATATCTGTAGAAATTGAATCCCATGAAGCATTTATGATCAAGCAACATGAAATGTATTAAGCATCGCTTCTACTCATGGTTATTTCTCAATGAATTACTTGGATTGTATAGACAAGAAAATAAATGTGATAGTAAATACCATATACCTCACGATCAACTTCCACAGACTGTGTCTGGTTAACCGCTTTTAAAACCTCAAAGAGAACATTAGCTGTTTGGTATGCTTTTGTAAGCTGTGCACTGAAGAAGTCAAGTGTTATTAATGATTAATGTTAAAATTATTTTACAGTAAGTGTGCCCGACAGAAGAAAAAGCGCGGACAATTGATGAAACTTACCGATCAGCTTTATCAGCAGCATTTTGCAATGCTTGGATATATTTTTTGTAATAATGTTGATAAAAGCTTTGCATTTCACGGGCATCACTTTTTTTTACTCTTCCCATCAAGGTGGGATCATTTTCCTGAAAAGGTCAAGTCATAAACAATAATATATCTGGATTCTTGTTATATACAATAAATTTTTCGACAAGAAACTAATAAATTGTGAGAGTGAGAAGTGCTAGATTGCTTCCTTCCAATAATAATACTATCTCTTCATGCAATTAACTGAGACACTCAGATCAATTAACAAATTTCTAGTCTAGATGCAACATATTGGGCAGTCTAAAATACCATGGAGTAAAAAGCAGTTTAAAAAGAATTCAATTCGCAAAACCTACAATAGTTTCACAATGATGTTATCGAAACAAGTCCCAGTTATAAGTACTTGTATTACCCACTTTTTACTGGAGAAATGATAATTGAACAATATTTCAACCTTCATGACATTGAGTGAAGTAGTCTAGAAACTTTCCAGGAAAATCAATGGCTCTCAATGGAAGGGGTGACAGAATATTAAAAGATGAGGATGTGCTTTAAAAATAACAAATAACTACAATAACACAATCAGTAATAGCTGAGCAAAGTCTGATTAGTATACTTTTCATAGATTGTAACATTCTGATATTTTTGCTGGTTTCAAAGCAGGCTTGATATTCTTGTTTATGTGAACTGATAGAATGTTACGCCAGAGATTCTTTCAATCTACAAGATAAAGTGTTCTAATACTTACTCTTTCAAGACGTTGCAAAAGAGCTGTTTTGAACTGACGAACACCACGTCCACTTGAAGTAGGATCCAACCTATGGGCTTTTTCAAAAGCATAGAACCTACCTGCACAAATAAAGATGTTTAGGAATACATCTAGTTTATGAAAAATATATGCATATTGGAGGAACTTTAAAGCAGTTTAAGTTAAATTTCTCAACCAACATGCCGAGATTCACACACAAATACGTAATGATCATGGTAGAATAAAGGCCCACTTTTCCTCACGGACAAAGAATAAATACAGTATGTCAGCCATCTATGTATCCAGAAAATAGAAAGCAACCCCTTGTTTTAAAGACATGACAGAGAAAAATGCACTTGCACACATATAATTTACTTGTAGTTCTAAGTAATAGAACTATTGAATGGGTTAGAAATAAAAAAATTCATAACGTCATAAATGCCAAACATTGTTTATGGTCAAAGTTTGTGTTAATAAAAATTCGCAAGAAACACAGCCTGGTTTTATAGATCATACTGATGTTAGGCCACCAGCCAGGAAATTCAAGCAATTAGACTCTTACCAGCATGAACACAAAGATAATGACTTCTATGTGATTCTTTTTAACTTTTTAGTATTTTCTCTTTAACTAAGTAAATGGCAGGTGCTCAAACGGCTCCAAACGAACACTACAATCTAGTCATCCAGACAAAATATTTAAACTCTTAATCTTGCACCGTATTAACAAGATCAAGCAAACTACTCGTAAAGCCATCAGCACATAGAATCTATGAATATGACCACATAACCACGCACATTGATATCCAATTAATAAAAAATTCAATGCCGATAAAGCTCTTCAAGGCTCAAAAATAGAAATTTCTTAAAAATTTTATTTAGTTTGGCTCGTTAAAGGCTCGAGCACCCTAAAGAGCTCAGCTCGGCTCATCTACAGCCCTAGCCGAGCCGAGCCCGGCTGGTTCACAAAACGAGTTTTAAGCGAGCTCGAGCTCGGCTCATTTATCAAACAAGTCGAGTCAAACTCGAGCCTTAACAAGCCGAGCTCACGAGCGGCTCAATTTGTTTAGCAGTTCTTAGTTACAGATATACAAATTGGAAGTCAAAACTAATAAATAGTTCAATGCTTACAGAGGTAGGCAACACGGGGGTTGCTAGGCTCGACTTCATTGGCAACACGAAGAATGGGGGCAATTTCCACCAGGGATGACGGCACTACTTCACTGTCAAAGATAGACTCCCCGAGATTCCCAACCGTCTGTGTACGCGTGATCCGCCTTTGCAGTTGCGGATTTTGCTGCGAGGGTCCTCCTCGTGAAGTCATTTGTATAACCTTTCCTCACTCAGAAACGATTCTTCTAGGAAGTACAGAACTTATCTACGAACTTCCGTTCTACAGAAGAAAAGATATACATAAGAAATTGAATGTCCTCACAGTTCACAAGGGATGTTACATAACATCACCACTAAATGTGCCGCTGCCAGTTCACATAAACTCCGAAAATATTGATCACAGGATTACCTTTTTCGGCAGCTGAAAATCAAACTTGAAACAAATAAATCTTTCCAGATGCACAAAACCATTAAAAAGGTAAAATTAAAAAAAAAATAAAAAAAAAATTACATATGAAACAAATCTCCGAGTCTCCTGACAGTATGCACTCACATTTGACGATTAATTACGGGTTGATCAAGGAAGAGACTGTAATAGCTAGGTTTCTTATAATCCCTTAACACACAATTAGCCACTTCACCCACCCAGAACAAAGATACCAGTTTAGCAGCACATAATTACCAGCACAGTACCAAACGGCTATATCAGTCCAAAAGATAAAAAATAAAAATCCACCCCAGAAGGTCTGCTGAGCAAAGCAGCAGAATGCATCAGCAGTGACAGATTCCAAGAGAAAAAAAGGAACTGATTCATCATTAGAAGTTTGAACACAATTTACCTCTTGCATTACTTGCTTACTCAGTGCTATGAATCTGGAGCAGTAGAAAGTGGCTGGAAAGCATGAATGTGAGCTGAAAATAACAGTAGAGCAACCCTAGGAGAGAGAAAGGGGGAGATGAAAAGGTATGGGGGTTTGTGGGGGTGCTGTGGCTTCAAGCAGCAGAAAAGCAAGAGAGAGAGAAAGGGAATATGGGAGGCAACGGAAAGTTAATTAAAATTTTGGAGTGTTATCTTGGAGTACTACCATTGGTCTCCGTGCTCCGAGTTTGCCCATTATATCCTTGTATATAATTTCCAAATTTTGAATTTGTCCGTGTGGTTCGAAATTTTACTTGTCATAATTTTAATATATACGTTGGATTAACTAGACTAGGTGTGTTAAATATTTCAATAATATATTAACTATTTTACTTTATTAAAATAATATTTATTTATTTAATTCTATGTTATACTTTCCTTTTAGTTTTATTTTTTTCTATTACATATCTTTACTAAATCAATCATGTTAATTTATTTCACAATCTTTATCTTTAATATTCATATTTTATATATTTAGATGATGAAATAATATAATATTGTTCTTTTGAAAATGATATTTGTTTAAAATCTAATAGATAAGTTGTCAACCTAATAAAAAATGAAAAATGCTCCTTTCCCCGTACTTTTCCCACCGCATGAAATACTCCGTGACGTGTCACTCTAATTTCTCTCATTATTCGGCTAAAATAAAAACAACACCGCTACAGCCCCCGTCCATTCCCCACCGCATAAATTTACTCCATGATGTGTCATCGACGCGTCAGTAGTTTTTCCTTATTGTTCGGTCAACAAAGAAATTTTTTTTATTAAAGTTGTGTTAATAGAAAATTAAAATTTATAACCGTCCGCGCTTCGCGGCCAAAAACGGTTCGGTCGCGCGGATAAAGACTCGCGCGGCCGCGATCGTGGGACGGCAGCGACCGCAATTGGCGGCCGGCCGCGGGCCGCCTCACAGAAGAAAAAAAAATTCTACAAAATATTTTTCGTGTAAATTTTTTTTTAAAAAAAAAAAAACATACCTGTAGATTCCTTAGACTCTTCCCAGAATTTTTTTTTCTTTATTTGAAGGGTAAAAAAAAGATTTAGGAATGCGGTACATAGTAAAAAAGGTGCATAGAAAAGGTGCAGTATTTAGCGATTCAAATTCAAAAAGAATAATTGCCTCGTAAATAACAAGAAGGTTGTTCTTATATAGATCCATCAACGAGCAATGCATAATTTTTTTAATATTTTTTTTTTTCTAATCAAATGTTCGATGCAAAAAAAAAATATTCTAGCGTAATAAAAAATACAACATTTTATAATATATAATTATATATTTTTCAAATAAATAGCATCAAAATTAATACATAAATATTTACGCACGTTAGAAAATGTTTGGTATGCGAATCAAAGACCCGGCCAAATTACAAAAGAACGTAGTAATATACATATATTTTGTTTAGAAACATTTTTTAAATAAAATGTTGAATGAAAAAATAAATTTTAATAATTAATTCAGGTTTGGTAATGAATTAATAAATCAGAATTAATAAATCAACTTATGAACAATTGGTTATTCAAAACTCTATTTCGTAAAGATTGAGATTTTTATAAAAAATCATTTCATAAATATCTTTTGCTTTTTAAATGAACATTTATAAAAGTTATCTCAAGTAACCACATCCATTAAACAATAATTAGGGAATAGTACAACACCCGTGTATTACACGAATGCTTGTTAAAAAATTATTCTTCAATTTTAACATTAAGGAGAAAAATTAATTAAAAATATTATTTACTTTTTTACAAAAAATATATATTATTATATATTTTATAATGACATTTATTACTTGTGCGACTTACATGTGTTATATTTGTAGTAAATTTTATAACTTATATCATATAACTACTTGAAATATAAATATATTAATTGATAAATAATTTTATTTTTCTAACTAATATTAAAAAATAATTTTACTATTGTTATAAAGGTAAATATAATTTATTTATTTTTATACATATAATATGGATGTTAAATCGAAGTTCATCAAGAGATGATTAATTTGATATATCATATATGTAAAAAGTAATAAAAAATACAAAAGTTATTAACTTTTAAAATACATTTACAATTCAATGGTTATAATAAGATATTATATTCAAGTGCAATTAATAAATATAACATGACTATAAATAATCAACATATTTAAGGATAATCCGGACCTAACTATTTTGGGATTGTAATTAAATTTAAATCTACCCAAGCCTAATAATAAAGCATGTAATTTTGCCATATAACCCGAATAATGCGAGCCTGCCACTTAAACTCAGCACATTCTGTATTAATATATAGGTGGATGTAACGAGTCAGATCGGGTTTTGACAAATCCAAACCATATATATGGTATATACCCGCATATATTTTACTCGACCCGAGCCAAACCACTTACCCAATAATTAGCGTTCAAGCTCGGGTCGAGTTTTACCGAACGGGTGATCGAATGCCTGTTGGGTAAACGGGTAGCCGAATCGCAAATTTTGGGTTTACCCGACCACACCTGCTTCAAGTGTAGAATAAATAAAATTATTCAACAATTAATTATAAAATCATTTCTAACAAACTATTACCTTATTTTGAAAATAAATTAATTCTAAAAAAATAATCTACATTATTTTTGAATAAATAATGAGATTTTTTTATAATCCAGTTAATAATACAACATTTTAATAAAAAAATGGCAATGCGATGTATAAAATTTAGTAATAAATATTTAAAATGATGAAAAAGTATATTTTGTTTAAATTTTACTAACATATTATAATGTTTTAATCTTTTCTCAATTCTTAGCTTGGACAAAATAAATGTACTTAGCCACATTGTTTTTGATTTGTTTTTAACTCGTATTAAATCATAATATTTAATATTTATATTCATATATTATACTAACTTAATATTTTACGTTGAATTTGCATGGATGAAAACTATCAGTGTTAGTTTGCAATATTTATAATTAAGCTATTCTTGCAAATTATAATAAATAATATAACTTTTTATTTTTAATATCACATGTCTTGACTACTTTTATATTTATGATAAGCTTAGAATATATATATATATATATATATATATATATGTATGTGTGTGAGAGAGATAAAAAGAGAGTTCAATTAGTTATATGTGTTTGCGGGTTAACGGGTCGGATATTTAGGTTTTCTTGCTATAGCCAAACCACGACCCGGTACGAGGTTGGAGTAGTACAGTTCGACCCGAAATCCGTCATCACGGGTTTTGCCCTATGTAAAATTGTTTGTAACCAGATTCTACGGGTTTTATTGAAATGTCTGGCAATAAGCCTGTTGTTAGTCGGGAACTAACATATAGACATTTATATGTATTCAATTGATATGCATATTTTAAATTGAAATATCATACTTTAAATAACAACATAAATATAAATATGCCATTTTATAGCACAAATATTTATTTTTTTGTTAAAAAAATTGTATGATTATTTGATATGTCTCACACATAACAAAGTTCATACTGGTTGATATGTCTCACAGACTCACACAAAAAATTGCTAGCTCTTAAGCAAAGTACATTTATCAGGAGTCAGCTGTGCTTAAAACTTTTTTGCTTTCACTTGGGTCAATTTGCTTTTGCCAATCACTTTTCATCACATTAGTGGTCGGGTGATGCCTTGAGCATATAAAAGCGCAGGGCTGATGCAAATTGTATAGTTGATAACGTGTTTCTTCAATGCACTTGATCAAAGTGTAAAAAAGAAAACAATTGTTATTCTACGCAACGAAGTAACCAACTTTATAGTGGCGTCTTTAATGATATTCATTAGATAATTGTTGGTTACTTATTAGTCACGCCAAATCTTAATAGAGATAATTTACCATTATGCATGTAATGCAATTTATTTAGACAACGATCCATTCAAAATATTATTTTCTTATAAGTAGTGTACTAAGAATCAATCTAGGCGTTAGGCGACGGTCGACTACCTCCGATTTATATGAATCGATTGAAAAGATCGATCAGGCAACTCGGCGGTGCTAGGCGATTCTCATCGACAAATTTCCAATCATTTTTTATACGAATTACATTATTTTGTTATCATCCTTTCTAATAATAATATATTATTATTATTTGCACTGAGGTATGTGAATTCATTATAAATTGATATAGTTTTATTTTGTAAGTACTGAAAATAAATAAAAGATAAGATATTATCTGTCAAGAATACACCACTCTCATCATCGAGAACACAGTAATGACGAACGAAGATCGCACTTTGAAGCAACTTGCTAATGTCGTACTTCCGCAGCAACCGCTTTGCATAACTTTTCCGGAGATGAATGATACCACGTTCGAGTTGAAGTCCGGGCTAATCCATTTGCTGTCATCGTTCCATGGTCTCGCTGGTGAGGATCCACACAAATATCTGAAGGAGTTTCACATGGTGTGCTCCAGCATGAAACCCATCGGGGTTACCGAAGAGCAAGTCATGCTACGCGATTTTCCAATTTCTTTCAAGGAAGTTGCAAAGGACTGGCTTTATTATTTGTCTTCAGGATCGATCACTACATGGGCGGAATTGGAGAAGATCTTTATCCAGAGGTACTTTCCAGCGATACAAGTCAGTGCTCTACGGAAAGAAATTTGTGGGGTGTGATAGATGCAAGGAGAAACACTGTACGAGTACTGGGAAAGGTTCAAGAGGCTAGTTGCGAGTTGTCCACAGCATCAGATGTCCGGCCAACTATTGATCCAATACTTTTATGAGGGCCTCATGAAGAGGAATATGCTAGATGCGGCTAGTGGCAGTGCACTCATGGATAAAACTCTCACGGCGGCACGAGAGTTAATTGCCAACTTGACAGCTAATTCTCAACAGTTTGGTACTCGTGGTATCTTGCAGAAGCCGGCTCAAGAAGAAGGGACTGAACGTAGAGAGGCTCAAATCAAGGAGTTGACCTCTGTGGTTCGCCAACTTGCTGTAGGACAAGCTTCGAGGGTCCGACCATGCGGTCTATGTGAGATTGTTGATCATACTACGAAGGAGTGTCCACTAACAGCGAACACGACGGAGGCCCATGCCAAGGCAAGTGGGGCGAACAATGGTGTCGGACGCAACTACGACCCATTCTCAAACACTTATAATCCGGGGTGGCAAGAACATCCAAATTTGAGGTGGGGCAACAATAGCAACAATCATTTTGGGGAGCAAGACCCAAGGCAACCCCAAAACTTTCAAATGGGACAAGGCTACCCAAGGTACCAAGGTACGGGGGAGCACAACACTCGTCCTCCGATGAGTGAATCATCTTCAAAGATGAAAGAGTTGATGGAGAGCATGGCGTCCAGCCTTAAGAACTTGGAGGGACAAGTAACCCAATTGTCGGATCACGTGAACCGACTGGAGTTGCAAGTGAACTCCAAATTACCGTCCCAAGCGGAGATTAATCCGAGAAATGTCAGTGCCATCAGATTAAGAAGTGGGAAGGAGCTCTCAACCCCCGAGGGTCCTATTCCATCGAAGGAAGATGCGGTCGAGAAAGAAGATGGCGAGAATACACAAAATTATGTTGTTATTGCCCCCTGATAGTAGTACGACTGGAGAAAAAATGAAGGGAAAGGCCATCGAAATCGAGTCGAGGAGCGCTGAACCTTTGCCGTTTTCATCTAGAATCAATGGGCAATAGAAAGACAACGCCAAGAAGCAGGTCTTGAATGTTTTTCAGAAAGGTCGAGGTCAATATTCCCTTAATCGACGCAATAAAGCAAATTTTAAAATATGTGAAGTTTCTAAAGGACTTGTACATGCATAAGAGGCAATTGAAGGGGGACGAGCAGGTGATAATAGGCGAGAATCTTTCAACCTTGTTTCAGAAGAGCTTGCCACAAAAAAGGAGTGATGCAGGTATATTTTTCATTCCTTGCATAATCGAGAATTTAAAAATAGAATGGGCTATGTTAGATTTGGGTGCTTCGATAAATGTCATGTCAACTAGGGTTATTATCCAACTCGCCGATCGTAGTACAACTTTTCCCGACGGTGTTGTTGAGGATATTCTTGTGAAAGTTAATGATCCTGTGTTCCCGGCTGATTTTTATGTGTTGAGCATGGATGATAAGTTCTCAAACTCCACCTCAATTTTATTGGGAAGACCATTTTTGAACACAACCCAAATGAGGATTGATGTCCGACAGGGCACTCTTACGATGAAGTTTGATGGACATGTCATCAAGTTCAATATTTTTTATGTTATAAAATATCTTAATGATTGTGATGACTCCGTCTATATGTTTGATGTTATTGACCCTTTAGCCCAAGAATTTATGGAGATTTTTGGTCGAAATGATGAGTTAGAGGTGGCGATCGCATCGAGCATTGAGTGCGACAATCTGTTATCTCCCCTCTGATAATAAAAGTTGACGAGTCCGATTTTGACGAGTGAGCCAAAGAATTGAAGGAGATCGTTATGACATTGCATGAGCGAGGAGTTGTTCCTCCTAGGTTTGTTTTAAATTTTATTGAATTACCAGAATCTCACAAGAAAATTTTGGCATCTACTGTGCAGGCTCCAGAGCTCGACTTAAAATCCTTGCAGACGCATTTGAAGTACGTGTACTTTGGGAAAATGACACGCTACCCGTGATCATTTCAGCATGTTTAGACGCTGACCAAGAGACATCTTTGTTGAAAGTATTGAAGGATAACAAGCGGGCGATCGGTTGGACGATAGAGAAATTGCGTAGGATCAATCCATCGATTTGTATGCAATATATCTGTTTCGAGGATGGAGCTGGGCCATCCCAGGAGCAACAACGGAGGCTGAACCCATCCATGATGGAGGTGACTAAGAATGAGGTCATCAAGTTTCTCGATGTCGGGGTGATCTATCCTATTTCTAACAGTCGATGGGTAAGTCCGACTCAAGTGGTGTCCGAGAAATCTGGAGTAACTGTGGTTGAAAACCACAATGGTGAGTTAGGTCCTACTAGAGTACAGACCGAGTGGAGAGTTTGTATTGATTACCGTAAGTTGAATATTATACACGTAAGGATCACTTTCCGTTACCGCTTATTGATCAGATGATTGAGAGATTAGCTGATCACTCTTATTACTGTTTTATTAAATGAGTTTTCAGGATATTTTCAAATCCCTATAGTCGCAGAGGAGCAAGAGAAGGCAACGTTCACGTGTCCCTATGGCACGTTTGCCCACCGTCGTATGCCATTTAGATTGTGCAATGCACCGGCCACCTTACCCGAGTTATTAAGGAGTATTCGGTCTTTCCAAACTTGCACCAATCTATGACCAAATACACTGAAGAGTTCCACAAAAGTAGCTCACATAAACTAACAGCAAAATTTTCCATACAAAAAGAACCCATGTAATCCATCTCTCCCGATCACAAAAACACTACATTGGAATGAAATAATACAAAATANCCCTACATTTTCCTAGGTGCCCGTTTCCTCTTCTTTGACTTTCTCTTCCCAGGTTTTTTCGCCTTCTCCTTTAAGGTCTCCGGGGATTTTTTCCGTTTCTTGCCGTGAGGTTCTGGGGAAGCTGCCTCGGGCCCACTGTCTTCTTCGTCTACACCGCCACTAAACAGATAGTCTTCATCATCGGAGCTGAGTACAAAATCTTCAATGATGTCCTCGTCTGCACTCGCCACCTCCAAGGGCTCAATATTTTTCTTCTTCATCTTCTTATTCTCCACATTTTCCTTGTGCTTATTCCTAACCCGCCCGAAAGTTATTAGTGTTAAAATGTAGGAATAACCATCAAATGTGAGAATGAGAGCCTGTTTCATTTTTGTATTATAGAGATACACTTCCAAAATTACTCAATAATAATAATAATAACACTTGTCAGATTCAGTCTACACTTCTCCTAATAAGAAGAAATTTCCAAAAGACCCCCTCACAGTTATCCCTCAATATCAAATTCACCTTTTATTTCCTTTCTTAAAATAATAAAATGAATTCTACTTCTCTACATTTTCATGTAAAACCCAAACCGTAGGGGTAGTGCGTTTAATTTATCCCTTGCAATAATGAACCAACTGTTCGTGCATAGACATAATCAACAGCACGTGTTTATAACAAAAATGTGTGTGTGTGTGTGTGTGTGCGTGCTAGAGAGAGTTACTTGGTATTCTGCCCGGGTAGCAAAAGACTAGCACTTTCTTCATCTTCAGAATCGTCATCTTCATCGTCTTCATCATCACTAGTCTTGTTTCCGAATTTGGAAGCACGGTCTCCAACACGAACACTGAACAGAAATACACATCCCTCATAAGCATCCCAACAAAGGAAATTGAAATTTAATCTCAAATCACAAAGGAGTAAAACAAAATAACTTGAATATGAGATCAACCTGGATTCCATTAGTGCCTTATTTCTATCTTGTGCTCTCTGGCGTAGAGTGGCAACATAACTGGACAGAGGGCTAATTCCCAACTTCTTCTCGTCCTGTATGCATGGGGTAACCGATAAATAAGCTGGATGCCACAACTCACACTTTTTTAAAAGAAGATTAATGTATCAAGCTACTTACTCTTTCAACTGTATCACCTAAAAGCACATAAATATTGAAAATAACTAAAGGAAATACTTGCTATTTTAAATATATAACTGTTTTTTTCCTTTTCTTGGTCCGACATGAATTAAGCTTGACCAAAATTGAGTACAAATACTCCACATTGTGAGGATTTGGATAATCGTAGAGCAGGGTTATACATACAGGTTGAGTCTCTTTGTGTGGTTCACATTACGAGGAACAGCTAGAAATAAGATTAAAATAAAAATATTGTATATTTAGGATAAAAAGCATCAAAATGAATGTCCAAACCTCGAGGAAAGTCTCAGCTGCAGGGTCATTCGGCAAGAAAGAAACTGTTGTCCGCTTCTTATTTATAAATTCAGAGTTGGCTTCGATCTACGCCATTGAGACAGTAGGTGAAATCAGCAGAAGTTTTATAACATCAATAAAACAGATATGTTTCTGAGTATGTAGATTAGTGCGTGAGTTTTAGGTTTCATCTTATTAGTGAATGCAAAAAACAAAAGACAAGGCCAACAACTGTCATGAGATAAACCTGACGAATGAGATGCCTCATTTCTTTGCGAAACCTATCGACCTTTGTAGATTTGCAGAAGTTACGCAGTCGAACACCAGGAACAAATGAAAACTCCAAGAAAGCAATAGAGTAACTCCACTGAGCAAGATGCTCAGCAAGCTCCTCAACCACGGATAAAACACAAGCCTCCTGAAATGCTCTTGTTTTCAAAGTTGTTTTGCTAACCTGTTGGAACACTTGCATATTCAATATTGAATAATATAAGATATATACATATATAATTACGAATGAAGAACCATTTTTGAGAGTACCTTAAGGATAGAAAACAAATCAACAGATTTGCCTAATCCTCCAGTGGGGGGCCTATGCAATTCTTTTATCTCGAGCATGTCCAAGAGAACCAGAGAAACAGGAATATATGTACCAGTTGAAGCACTTATACGGTTGAGCATTCTCACACATCGCAATCTAAGGGGAAAATAACAAGCAGATGGAAGTAAACGAGCTACTCCTGTGATAATCTGTGCCAATGGGTAAGTGAGTGGCTTCAAATCAGCTTCTTCGCTATATGCACAAACAACTCCAGTCCATAGCTCCAGGCAGTTAATGTACTTCCACTGGTAGACCTTTCTATATGTTTCCTGTGGGAAGAAGGATAAAACTGAATAAAAGGAAACAGTCTGAAATATACATGACCTTGAAAAGAAAACTTCTCTTAATTATTGTCCAGTAAAATACCGAAACTAAGTAGCTAGAAGCAATTTATCTTTTAGCCTTAAGCCATGAATCCATGTCTCAAATCTTCCGAATCATATCAAAGTTTATAGTTACAACATATTAAGGGAAATGAAGGTCAGACCAACAAATAATATTTGGAAACTACCAAGTTTAAGAACATAGAACTCCAACATTAATGCAAGAACAAGAAAATAAAATCAATATACAATTAAAAATTGTAGTGTTATCTTGCACCATACCTTTTTTTTAGAACTCGAAGGAGCTTCCTTCCCCTTCTCTTTTTTAGAACCAGAAGGTTCATTATTCCCCTTGTTTTTCAATTTCTTCTTTTGTGTGGAACACGAAAGTGTTTCCTTCAATATCATTGCTAGCTGCCGGATGTAAACAAAGGCATGCTGATAAGCAGACGAAGTGTCAATCCGAAGGAGCTCGGTAAAGCAATTTCCAAGAAATTGGATGTGCTGTAATTTTGTTGTATTAATGAAGTGGCAGTTCAAGACATAAGCCTTGTACATTCCTTTCACGCAGTCATCCAAGCAGTCAGAACCAAGTCGCACACAACAATCTCTTAAGAACAAGAAGGAGACAAGTGGCAGTGCACCAGTTCCTGTACCCCAGAAATGCAACGCAACCTGAAAATAAAACAAAGATAATGTTAAAACATGTGGTTAGAAAACGATATTGGCATCACCAAGGAATATTACGAGTTTAAATTATGGAATATAAATCTGCCACCTAATAAAGACATCAGAACAAAATCTACACAAGGAATGTAACTAAAACTAGAAACACAAAATTCACATATTTCATGTAATAGTTGATGATTGTGAGACGTCAAACTCATTATAACACAAAAAAATAAAATCTTTGTAACCCAATAATCAATCATAAATAATCACCAAACAAAACCCTCTAAAAACCCACTGAACAGCCAACTACTCCACAACCACAAGCCAAACACATACCTTGATATACTTCCTCAAGAGGGCCGGAAAAGCAGCTAGAAACAGAGCTGAGTACTTCAGGCGCCTCAGCACGAATGCAATCATCTCACTATCTGTCATCTGATTCAGCACATGCAAAGCATTCCCAAGGTACGACTTCACCAGGTGATTATAATTCTTCCACGGCCTACTCGTCATCACATCTACCATCATCTCCCGTTTCCCACCGGAAGGCGGCAGTCTCAGCAGTCCTCGAAGTATCCCATCCATCTCATTCAGGACAAAAACCATAATCTTGTTGAAAACGGCACTCGACATGGTGCTGAATCTGGCTGCCACGTCATCACCCTGTTCGTCGTCCCCATAATGGCACGCACTGCGAAAGGCCCTCATCAGAGACCGGACAGCGCCCAATTTGGACCCACTGTGAATCGCCTCACACCACGAGTCCACCATCTCGCTGGTTATCACGTTTCTGGTGAGCTTGCCGGCCTCCGGTGGCTCGCCATCACTTTGCCCGTCATCGTCAGCGTCGGTTTCTTCTTTTTCCTCATCCTCGTTTTCCGGGTCGGTTTGAGCATTGTCCTGAAGTGAATTTATTATTTATGTATATGAAACAAATTGTGTGGATAATTATCAACTTTTTGTGCTTCATTACTTACGTCCAGGTCGTCTTCATCGAATTCGAGCAGTTCCTTGTCGTGTTCTTTCAAGAATTCGTAGAACTCCGGGTCCTGTGTGTAGCAGTACAGACAGTCAAACATATGTACAATGCCTAATCATCTAAAGAACCTCAAAGAAAATTAACAGAGCCATTAATGAAGTAATAAAATAGGGCTAGCACAATTAGGGATTGTTGAGGACGAAATTTCAGGTAATCAAAGGTGCAATGCAGTAAAAGCGGAAATAATGCCATAGATGGAACCTTCTCTTGAAGCTTTTTCAAGGTGCCAATGTGTTCTTGAGCTTCTTTCAGCTCCATCCCATTGCTCTCCTTCACTTCTTTTTCCTCTTTTGATTTCTTGGCTGCTCAAATCAAATTCAATTCAGGTATTAAAGCAACGATTGGAGACATTTTGTTCAAAAATTATTTTGAGGAAATACCTTCCCTCAACAGTGAAATGATTAATAATCATAATAAATTAAAAGCGGAATGAGACCTTTGCTCTTGGAACCCATCGGAGGAGAAGCTGGTCGACCAGGGAGCTGAATGCAAAACCCTATTTTACATTTTTGTTGGGGGTTTATTGTTGTCCGGGTCGGGTTAGATTTTCGAGCTTGGGCTCGGTCTACAGTTCCGTTGGAATTTAGGATGGGTTTTTTTCGTGGGCCGATATAGGGTTTGCTTTTGTATTCCATAATGATATAAAAGATAAAATAAAGTTTGGTATGAGAGCATGTGATCAAAATTTTATTACTTTACATATCACGTTACTTTCAAAATTAACTAATATTTGACCATGTGCATTTGCACAAATATAAATAAATTATTATAAGTTATTTATATATATTTAATATTAAAATTATAAATTAGATAATAGTATTAAATTTTAAACAAAGAGTATTATAAATTATATTTATATTTATAATATTAAATTTTTTAAATATATTGCAGGACCATTTTACGAGAGTAATGAAGAGCTTTATTTCATTATTGCAGGACCAACTCATGCTACGTCATCTGTATCCTTATTTCAACTAGTACGTAACCCGTGCGATGCACGGGCTGAATAGGGAATATTATAAGTTAAAGTGTTTTAATAGATAAAGTGTTATAATACGTAGAGAAATTGTTCATCACCAAAAATATATATTATTAAATACATCATTGTATACGTCGTTCCAATGGACTAATATTTTAAGCCCATTCTAAAAGTTACACGCGAAACAACATAATTGGTCGTGACTAAAAATAAATTTCTTTACAAACATGAAAATGCGCGACAGTGACTCTTGTTTATGGTCATGGTATACGAAACCATAAGTGGAAACTGTCGCCGGTGGAACTTAAATGCAACCCTAAGATCGGAAGGAGTTATGTTCTTTCTAAGAATCAACACCTTTTTGTCAGCTTGATGTCCTATCAATATCTTGCATTCGAGCACATGAGTGGAGAGTTTGGTCATATCTAATTGTGTCCCATTGCACAATTCCAAAGAATAGTCCATGTTCTGGAAATTATCTAATCTACACACATATAAGTTTTTATTAATGATAGTGTGATGTTAAATAATATTAAATAATAACTCAAAAATTTGATATTATTTATTACTAATATGAGTTAAATAATTAACTAATTACAACTCTATAAAATGCGAATGGAACGGTGGAATAATTTTTGGAATCTATAAAATGCGAATTTATTTGATTTTTTAGGGTTTGCTCATAACTCACTTTTGTATTCTCACCATTACCTCATAAATTTGAAAAACAATTCACATTTTTTATATCGAATAGATTAGCTTTGACTATAGTTGGCAACAGATTTGCGATTTTATTGCCCACACGGTTTAAGTAAATATATAGCATATTTTATAAAAATACGTCCAATAGGAAACCAATTGATTTTTATAACTCATAATAAGATTTTCTAATTAGCATGTTTACAATTTGATTCTACATAGAATATTAAATGAAAAGAATATTTTGAATATATTTTTTATAAGCCTTATTACTTATTAATAATATATTTAATTGTTAGAATAAAAATCACATCTATTAGATCATGCTCATAAGCTGTTTATACTTATTTAAAGATAAATGCATGCTTTTTGAATAATAATTATAATTAAAGATGAGGACAAACAATGTTTATTAATAATTATAAATTAAGATGTGAATAAATAGTATTACATAATAACTATAAATTAAAAATTTGAGGTTACATGTGATATAATGTACTTATCTTATGTAAAAAAAAAAACATAAAAAATATATGTTTAAAATATAAATCACGCTGTCACATGTCTAGATCGCAAGAACTCGTAAGATCTAACTCTTGCCTAGAGAAAAATACATGTGCATTCAATTGCCTATGAATCTAGTGCACTAATTTCATATGAAAATACATAAATATGATCAAAATTGTGCCTTTCACGTTTTCCTTCATATACATAAAAAATGATGAGATCCATTAGGAGCCAACAAAATAGACATTGAGAAACTAAAGACTACAACTACATTGTTCATAGATATCAATACATATATGTATTCCACATAAAACTAAATATGATATTAGCATAAGAGATAAAGACATCATGTCAACTAATAAAATAGGTAACTAAAAAAAAGTGTGTATGCATTTATTTGTAAGAAATTATGGCTAAAATAGCCTAACAACAACATTTGTGTTCTGTCAACTAACAAAATAGATAACTAAGGAAAAAATGAAGGAAATGAGTGAATTTTATATTTTAGTCATGAAATCCTTACCGAAACAGAGCAAGTACATATATGTAGGAGGATTGAAACTCCCAGTTGATACCAAAACGACATAAAGCTTCCCCCTGAATGAGTGAAAAGGACCTAAATGTTTCAAATGAATCTCATAAATAAAAGGACATTAAGTGAATTAAAGAGAATTAAAATTCATGACAAGCCAAAAGATGAATTTAAGGAGATATAAAAGGGGAAAAATGAAAAACTTAATGCAACGCTTACTTGCTCCTGAACTTGATAAACCATCTTTATTGATACAATTCAATGAAAAATTATTCAATGGCAACTCTACATCTACAACACCCACATAAGCACATCGAGAATTTTAAGCAAAGCCAAAATCTTGATAATCTTTTCATGCTTTTGCTTGGCTGTAATCTTACAAAACCTGTTAAAACCCACATATTCTTTTTTTGTTTTTGGTCTGCATGATTGTTGAAGATGATGGTTAATTTGTTACTAAGATAAAGACTTTATTGTTCCTTTTTTGATGAATTTCACATGTTTGAATATATATTAAAATCAAACATGTGAATTACATTCGATTCTAATATATATATAAAGGCAGTAAGAGCAAAAGTTAGTTACCTATTCCATGCTGCCTATGATAGTCAAACATCAAAGTCTCAGCAATTCTTTTTCCCTCATCAATCATCATAACAGCTCCTAACACCTGCAGGGCCACAATAAATATAACGATATTAAAAAGAAAAAAAAAAAGAGAAGGATAAAAACACAAAGAAAGTCAACCATGTAAAGTGTATTTTACACAGAAAATTTGATATAAATTACCAGCCAACAAAAGCTAAAATGCCATAATAATATATACCAATAGGGTTCACATTTCCCGAGTAGGTTTCTTCCTGAGGATGCCCAAGAGGGTCACCATAAACCTCTGATGTTGATGTCAGCAAAATCCTTTTCAAACATTACAAAGTGAATTCATGGATACAATGGAAAGAATACTATGAAAGTAAATTGATCATGTAATGGAACTTCCAAACCTTGCTCCTACTCTTTTGGCAAGCCCTTGCATGTTTAGAGTCCCAATTACGTTAGTCTTTCTGGTCTGTAGAGTAACATCCCAAGGCAAAAGACAATAAATCAATACCTTCCAGAAAAAGGAATAGCTGGTGCTTGTGTTCTGCTAGGACTGGAACCTAGACCAAGGCTGTTCTTTGTAGTCTGTTTAGAGTAGAGTAATAGAAGCAATAAAGGATATCAGGACAATGGTAAATTGGTAATTGATTGCTAACTTATACTGACTATCACTAAGGCCTTCATATCATCTTGATTTAAGGTTAGGGGAAGCAAATATACTCAGTGCAGATAGGAGTCTTGTAGTAAGCAAGGAATAAGATTTTTGCCAAAACCTATTCAGTGCTCAAGATCCTATTTGATTCAAATTAGTTTCTGAGGTAAACATTTCATAAATAAAATTTTCAACATGAATGTTTTCAGGAGGTCTCACATTTCCAAAAGTTACGCCAATAATATCATCACTCTTCTCTAGTTTTGCAGCGGATAGGTCAATCAGTTTATCAATACTCTGCATAGTTTTATAAAGAGACAGTAGTAAGAAGCAGTCACATAAAAACGCATAAAATCACTTATATGCATTTTGATAATAATAATAACTAATCAAATCTTATTTTCATTCAATGCCCAACTCGATCGAGTTCCAAACTTCCAATTCCATTACTCCATCAGGTAGATCAAATTTCAGTATAATTAATTTCATCATACCCCCACATAGCCCAACAGAAGAACAAAAGAAGCAAGAAATAACCAGCAAAAAAAGAAAATGCAGAAAAATACACATTCCTTCTCATACATTGTTGAGTGTTCTTGCAGATATAAAAATATATTTAATGAGTAATAAGATATAAATACAAAATAAATAATAAACCAAAAAAATGTCCCAGAAAAAAAAAAACTGGAAAGGCTCGTCCAACACAAACACACACCTTTTTACAAACACATTACCTGCGAGCTCGATCATACAGAGGAGCAACCCAGACAATTGCCAACGCACGTCAAGGCAAAGCACAACCGGTGCCATAGGGACACCCACCTGCCACTGTGATGCCGGAAAACAAAAAAAAAAAAGAAAAAACGGATTTACATGAAAACGGATATGAAATGGGGAAAATGATGGTTACAAAAATTCGTACTAATTAGTTGCTTGAGAAATGTCAAACAGGTTATCGACCCGAAAAGCTCCACAGAGAAAAAGTATGCGGGTACTTCTGTGTAATTAAGATGCTATCAAAGATGTACTTTCTACTTAACAATTCCCCCAGTTGGGCTATCACCCTATTCAAATTGAAAGCAAAAGTGACGATGCTGAGCTATTTGGATATAGATGGATAGAGGGAATTTCATCACTATACACACCATCTCTCCAGTGACTCTTCTCCTACGGTTCTTGCCGTGCCAGAGACATCATGATAAAAAAAAAAAATTGGAATTTTTTGGGGCCTTTTTGTATTTCAGGTTGAGGAGGAGGAAAACAGAAATTCGAGGTCTCGGTTGGGATATATGGCATAATCAAACCGAGAAATTGCGTGAGGGCTTCTGATCGGAGATGCATGGTGAAGAACAAAAACGAAAAGTAAGGAAAATCATGAACAATCAGCAGCAAAAGTACCTATCTTTCGGTGGCTAAGGCCTTGGGTTTTTGAAGATTGGAGCTTTTTCTCAACAACTTTTGCTGGGAATCAACAGAATAATGGCGGGGCTTGTGGCGATCAGTTTAACAGCTCGTATTTGCAGAAAAAGCTGTTGAGATTTAACTTAGACCTTTGATGAGGAAATTAGAAGGATCAGTGAATACTTCTTTATAGACTCTCTACATGTTTATCTCTACTAAAAATATGGAATGATTTTATTAAGATATTAAACAACTGATTTTGAGATTTTTTTTAACGCGTAACGCGTGAATTACGCAAAAATCTGTTCTGAAGATAACAGACAGATAAATGTAAAAGTAAATTGGTTTATAAAATCTGTACCAAATCACGTGAATTGTGGTATGGAATGATTTTTGCCAAATGAGCGGCGTGAATGAGTTTTCAAATGTTTAAAATGGATTTTTAAAATGGTTGCCATATTCAGTAAGTCAAAAGGGTTGACTGCGAATTTTTTAAAACTTTCCTCATTTGATTTATTGACCTTTTTTTTTCAATATATATAGATCCTATTTAATAAACGAGGAATAAAGTTGCCAACTTTATCATTTCCTATCAAAACTAGTAAACGAGGCCTAAATGAATATTCATCTTGAAAATATCTTGGCTAATGGGCCATCCCACGACCCATTTTGACAATGCTTTCATCCAATTGAATCACTTGTCATCCTACCAGGAGAAATCATTTTTTTATTCTCACTTTTCCTTCCATTCGTTTTGATTTCCTTGTTTCAGGTTTATGATAAACCAGAATGTGGCCGTAAAACCCGTCCAGGTACGACCTATCAACCTCCTCTAAACGATAGAAACCAGATTTGAGAGCTTTTAGTTCGTCAGCGATGACGTCATACCCTACGTGGACCCCACTAGCATCTTCTCCATTTTAATCTATTTCCATTGACCCACTCCAGCTCTCTCCTCAGGTTAGGGAAGTCAGCAAGAGATGGGAATTGACGGACAAGCTCCCCTAGCCATATCATTCAAGCTTCAAAATATTGACCATGGGTTTTTCTGCCATTTTCTCAAGGGATTTATCTTGAATTTTGACAGAAGAACTCCGTCGCGCTTCACTTGAAAGAAGGCGACAAGCGAATTCAACGATTTTTTTCGAAGGGGCGATTCCTCAGTTTTGGTAATTTGATCACAAAAAACTAAAAAGGTGAGCATTTTGAGCTTTGATTCGTTGGATTTCGATTGTAGTTCGTTTCAACTTGATTTCAACAATTTTATTCACGTGGTTCTCTTTCGAGCCACTGATGGGGCAGTTTGGGATAAAAGTTTTGCAAGAGCAGGAGTCAGTTTGAATTAGAATTATTTGGTTTATCTCGATTTGAAAAATGGGTTTGGAAGTTTTTGTGTTGCTGATTGATTATCAACTGGTTTCTGTAGAGATTTTATGTGGGAAGTTGGTCAATACCTCCTCGTTAATGGAGGACCAATATATTAACTACATAGGTTACGAATTTATGTGTTACTGGCATGAAAGTTGATTTCTATCTGTAGAATTGCTGGGTAATGTCAAAAGGTTTTGTGTGCCGAAGAAAAAAGTAAGGAGGAAGCTATTCAACAAGAAAGCATGAACATTTACATAACCCAAAGGAAATAAAAGAGGGAAAAAGAAAGGGAGATGGTAGCTGGTGTCATTGAGTTTAGATGTTAAATATGATTACATTCTTTTACTTGGATTTGATCCATTTGGGAGCTAATATTTGGTCAATGGAATGTTATATTTTTTTAGATCCTTCTCAGTGGGATGTTCATGTAATACTAGTAGCCAGGATCTTTTACCTTCCCATGATGTTTTCAGACAACAGTTATCTTATGAAATTGATTTTTTTCCCTTTATATATATTTAAACAGTTTTGTTTCACTTTTTCCTGTCTTTCTGTCTTCCCTTTTTTGGGATTATTGAGTGTGAATTCCTTTGGTCTACTAATTCATCGTGTGTGCTCTCCAGACTCTTGATGTAGGGAGCTCATATGATGAATGTGGATGTTTTCTTGTCCATCTGTAGTCTTAGACTCTTAGTTACTTTAATTCAAAAGAAATGAAGTATTGGTGTCTACTTTTCATTTGGTGCATGCATGGGAAGTGAGTCAGATAATATGTGAAATAACTTACGCGTTGTCATCGTTATCTAACTTTCATTAAATAGCCATTTCGTTGTTCTGCATTCACGAAACAACTTGTAGACCTTCACAAAAGCACTGACGGCGGGGAGGGTGAAGTGGAGAAAAAAATGATCGAGAGAGAAGAAGAAATCACTGCTCCTTTGAGTAAGTTCATCACACACACACACACACACATACCCTACTCTAGCTTGCACTAAGCCGAACAAAATTACTCACAACTCAAAACTCTGCAGTTCATCGGCACGTCCAAGATGTGGATGCCTCCTCCGATTCACATCAAGATGAAAATTCGCCAGTTGAGCAAGTGGCAATGACGGTTTTGCCCTCAGATGAACCCACCTTGCCCGTCCTCACCTTCCGAATGTGGGTCCTCGGTGCCTCTGCCTGTTTTCTCCTTTCATTCCTAAATCAGTTCTTTTGGTACCGCCGAGAGCCCCTGTCAATCTCTGCTATCTCGGCTCAGATAGCTGTGGTGCCCCTCGGCCACCTCATGGCTGCAGCTCTCCCCCGGCGAGTCTTCTTCCAGGGGCAAAGATGGGAATTCAGCCTCAATCCTGGAAAGTTTAATGTGAAGGAGCATGTTTTGATCACAATCTTTGCCAACTCAGGGGCAGCCAATCCTTATTCCATCCATATTGTTAGTGCGGTTAAGATATTTTACAGGCAGACGTTGACTTTTTGGGTTTCATTGGGGGTTGTTCTGACCACACAGTTGTTGGGCTTTGGGTGGGCTGGGCTCTTCCGTAGGTACCTGGTGGAGCCTGCTGCCATGTGGTGGCCCCAAAATCTTGTCCAGGTGTCTCTGTTCAGGTGCGCCCGTGCTCATCTGTGCTTTACTAACTAGAAATATGGTGCGTTCATTATTTGCAGGCACTCTAGTCTTTGAGAAGATGATTCAGCTCATTATTTCAATATATGATGCTATATATTTTAAAAAATGTGCTTTCATTTTAGGAATAGAACTTTGAAACATTTTAACGATGAAAATGGAAGAGATTCCTCATGTTAAGAAGATTGTCGAATTTTATGTTGGCGACAGACAATCCAATGTGCACGATTGCCACGCCAAATTATCTCCTTTTGCTCATTGTCATGGAATCAGAATGTGAAGCAAATTCTTGTAGGATGTAGTTATAGTTGAACTCTGAATTGAGCAATCTTTGTAGATAAAATCGCAGGATTAGAAGAAGGATGTGTTGCTTTCAATGGGGGATTTTTAGTGTGAGGATTGATGAGAATTTTATTTTTACAATTGTCATCTTATATCTGAGTTGATCCTTTATTTGTTGAAGCACTTTGTGTATGTAGCACTGGCTTCTCATTATAATACTCTAATTTGAATATTTAAATTGTTTGCATATGTTTTCGTCAACTCCTTATTTTTTGTTCTAAACTTATCAATTCACAATGTATATCAACGTATACACAATTATTTTATTTTTTCTTTTCCAAATTGTCTTATAGTAAGATTGTTCTGGCATAATATGTGCATCGATGTGTGTAACCACCAGAGACCCAATTTAAATTGCAGGGCGCTTCATGAGAAAGAAGTGAGGGCTAAGGGTGGACTGACACGAATTCAATTCTTCCTCATTGCCTTTCTCTGCAGTTTTGCTTACTATGTATTTCCAGGATATCTTTTCCCAAAGCTTACTTCTATTTCCTGGCTCTGCTGGATATTTTCTTCTTCGGTCCTAGTCCAACAGCTAGGTTCTGGACTCCACGGTCTAGGAATTGGTTCTATTGGGCTTGACTGGTCGAGCATTTCCTCATATCTTGGCAGCCCATTGGCTAGCCCGTGGTTCGCGACTGCTAATATTGCTGTTGGATATTTTATCTGCATGTATGTTATTACGCCTATTATGTACGGGCTAAATGTCTACAATGCAAAGACGTTTCCCATTTTTTCAGATGATCTCTTTACATCAAAAGGGCAAATATATAACATATCGGCCATTATAGATTCAGATTTCCACATCGACTTAGAGGCATATAATCATCAAGGGCACCTACACCTAAGCACCTTCTTTGCTACGACCTATGCTTTTAGTTTTGCATGCCTCACGGCCACGATCGTTCATGTCCTCCTTTTTCATGGCAGGTAAATAGCAAATAATGGGTTACACTGTTCATGCTTCCAACAGACCTATGTATGATATTTTCTGCATAGGTCTGTCCATACTTCCTATGTCATATGTCATTTCCATATAGTGTGGTTTTTTTTCTTGGTAAACATGACTCTAAGCTATAGGCTTTCTTAACTTACAAGTTGAAGAAGTAGAAGAACATAATACAGTACAAATAAACTATGGTAGTTTGGACTTGTAGTTTATTTTCTAAAAACGCTCTATTTCTACTTCACAAGCACCAGAAAGGAAAAAAATAAGGAAAGATAATCTCCTTTTCCTTGTCTTCTTTACGCAAATGTTATTGCTCCCTTAAGCCATTTCTTAGGCTAGTTGGCTAAAAAACGCTGTTTTGGTCATTGCTCAGTATAACACACTCGGTTGGGCTCCTAAAGTGGCATCGTGTTTTATGTATTTTTTTTTTTAATTAGGGATATATGGTTGCTGAGCAAGTCAGCTTTCAAGGAGAAGAAAATGGATGTACACACAAAGCTTATGCAAATTTACAAGCAGGTCCCTGAATGGTGGTTTCTATGCATTCTCACCTTAAATATTGCAGCCACCCTAATCATCTGTCAATATTACAACAGCCAACTCCAGTTGCCATGGTGGGGTGTCTTGTTAGCCTGTGCTCTCGCCTTCATTTTCACACTCCCCGTTGGCGTTATCAATGCCACAACAAACCAAGTAAAACTTCAGTGCTGTAATAATTCTTTTTTTGTCCTTGTGATGTGATATGTACTTTTGTAATCATGTGGTGGATTTAACTTGTGTAGTTACTCAGCAAGCATCAAACTCATCTTTATTTCTGATCAGATGCCAGGACTGAACGTGATCACGGAGTACATAATTGGATACCTATACCCAGGATATCCAGTTGCTAATATGTGCTTTAAGGTCTATGGCTATATCAGCATGAAACAAGCAATAGTATTTCTCCAAGACCTCAAACTCGGGCATTATATGAAAATACCACCCAGAGCGATGTTCATGGCCCAGGTTAGGATTTTTCTTCCTATTCTGTACAAAAGCACAAGAAGTCCAGTTTGTCATGGAAAAATCACAAAAAGTACTTCTCGATGTTTCACCAAATTACATTAGAACCCAATTATCTTTCCGAATTACAAAAGGTACCCACAGACCTTATCCGTTCTTAATCATAATATTCTGACAAATGAGAAGGGTGTTTTTTCGAATGCCGTTTTTGCATGTAAGACGTGATCAAGTCTCAGGGGTACACTTTTTTGTTAAAAAAAGAAAATAAAAAATCTGGAAGTTGGCTGAGCTGAAACTCACTTTTGTATTTAATTCTAAAACTGATGAGTTGTCAATTTCTTCATCAGGTAGTGGGCACCCTCATATCATCACTGGTGCATCTGGGGACAGCTTGGTGGCTAATGGACACTGTCCCAAACATTTGTGACCGAGCAGTCCTTCCTCCCGGCAGCCCGTGGACATGCCCTGGAGACCATGTCTTTTACGATGCCTCTGTCATCTGGGGCCTGATTGGGCCCGAGAGACTATTTGGGGATCTCGGCCATTACTCTGCCATTAATTGGGCTTTTCTAGTTGGGGCCATAGCCCCTATTGTAGTTTGGGCTGCACAAAAGGCTTTCCCAAACCAAGGATGGATTAAATTGGTCAATGTTCCAGTGCTTTTGGTGTCCATAGTGAATATGCCTCCAGCAACTGCTGTCAACTATAATAGTTGGATCATAATCGGCTTCTTGTCCGGGTTTGTTGCTTACAGATATCATAGGGAGTGGTGGGGCCGGCATAATTACGTGTTGTCTGGGGCTTTAGATGCTGGATTGGCCTTTATGGGTGTAATGCTGTATTTGTGTCTAGGGATGGAACACGTTAGTCTTGACTGGTGGGGGAGTGAAACGGATGGTTGCCCACTGGCTTCTTGTCCCACTGCAAAAGGGGTTTTTGTGGAAGGATGTCCGGTTTATTGACTGTTTTGAATATTGTTTTGTGGCCTTTGTACTTTGTTTCGGCTGCGCATAATGTGGTAATTCTTGTGAGTATTAATGAAAGTGATGCATTGTATAGTTTCGACGCGACAAATTTCTTATTTCATGCAAATGAGAATGAAGCTTGACAGGGGCAGAGCATCACGGGATTCACAATTGCTGCGTGCTCTGAAATTAAATGGTAAGAAGTGCATAGTTTGTTGCCTCTTGCTCAATCACCATAGAAAGCAATTCAATGTATTCTTACTATTTTACATCAAGTACTTAATCTTGTAGAAAAATCCGAGAATGGAACAAAACTATGTCATTGAGGAACTCCCAACCCCTACTAGCTACAATGACCACTTATGGGATCCCTAATTTAAAATTGCAAGTGAAGCTTAAATTTTCAACAGCAAAACTAACATTAGTCTGGTCTGCCTGACCTGTGTACTGCATGTGGGTTGCTGACTTTGACTCAAGCTTATGGTTATTTCTGGCACATAAGAAGTACGATAGACTAAGTAGGCACCGCATAACACCAAAAAAAGAATCGCACAGTTAAAACTTCATAAATTAATAGAGAACACAACGCCATCTAAAATGGTTCGGACCATAAATATCCAATCAATGTCTGATTATAACAATTTTAAGTGTGAAACAAAACAAAACAAAACAAAAACAGACGACACCACCACCTAAAAACCACAAGATGAAGATCCAAAGCTCAGAAATTCAGCACAAACACAAAAAAAAAATTGAAAAAAAAAGGCCCTCAAATCCCCGACTTCCGCAGCTCCTCCATCCCATGCGCAAAGTGACACTTATCCCCAAACGTGCAAGACCCCTTCATAAAATTCTCACAGAGCTTCGTCTTGAAATTGCTGCTTCCCGGCCCATAACTCGACCCACCCCCATGACCCTTCCCCGGTGGACCCCCCGCCGCTGACATCGAGCTCACATTAGCAACGAGCTCGTGAACCATCTGGCTAGCCTGCTTGATCTGATCAAACGTGCCCTCAAGCTCGATGTTGCGCAGGTTGGGGTTCGACTCGTGGTCCCTCACCGACAGCTTTGCCCCCGTCACTCGGCATATCTGCTTCGAGTTGACCCCTCCTTTCCCGATCACGGCCCCCGCCATCCCCGCCTCGATGCTGATCTTGGCCGCTGCCGAGGCCCCAAAGCCCGCTGGCGGCGGGGGGTTGTGGTGGGGCCCACCACCACCGCCACCGTACCTACCCCCCATGTGGGGTGGGGGTGGGGGTGGTGGCCCCCCTCCTCCCATCATCATGGAGCGGGGGTCGTCGTGTGGGGGGAGAAAAGTGGGGCGGCCGAGCTCGTGGTCGCCGTGGGCGAAGTTGCACTTGTCGCCGTACTTGCAGCCGTCGGCCGAAGCAAACCGGTTGCAGAGACGGGTCTTCACGGCTGGCGGGGAGGAGCCGTCGGGAAAAGACGGGGGAGGGCCCATTGGGTTACGTGCGTTGGGCGGCAAGGCTGGGTTGTTGCCGAGGATTTGGGTGACGGCCTTGATTCCGCCGGGAACGTAGTGCAGGAAGTGGCATCCCTCGCCAAAAGGGCAGCCGGAAGCACTGCAAATAATATTCGTTGTTGTTAAAAAGCTGAGATTCACGGATGAGCCTCGCTCTTCGAATGCAGAAAGAAGAAGAAAAGAAAAACAGAAATAGAGAAACGGAACTAGACCACTCTAGAAGTTCAAACTACTACCATGACGATTCTGCCGAAAGAAGAGTAATGAAGTTTTGTGTTTCAAAATGCTTGATTGGATATTTGGATACCTCTGATTTTGGAAAAGAAAAGGAAAGAAAACACACAACACTCCACAAGCATGGGGCAGGGGCACACAGATATTCATAATAAATTAATAATAGAATTTAGAATCATCATACAACCTCATCATTGGAATAGAACCCCATCCCAATGAGTGAAATCAAGAAAGGTATACAAAGATCAACTACTCAAGGTTATAAAATTTTAAAATGAAGTCATGAAATGGACGAAGATTTGAGACAGTAAAACAGAATGCCACGAATGTGATTTTGTTTCAGATGTGCTTCAAGTATGCTCAAATAAGACATTTACCAAGCAGTTTCATGCATTAAGAACTTCCATATCGCAGCACCCAAGAAGGCCTATAGCTACTATGCCTAACAGCAATATAAAATGGCAAAAGATCTACTTGTGGGATGATAGCAAATCATGTTTTGACTAGCAATTGACAATTCTATACACCACACCAATGTAATCGCCAAATAAAGTTCACCTAAGTGTCCTTACACATTCAATTCCTTTACAAATCTAGAGAAGTAATCAAATGGGAATAGTGAAAGAGTAAAAATTCGCACTTCATAGATCCACACTTCTCTGTAAGGTAGCATGAAAATCAGTAAACCAAGCTGCAAGCGTTTTTTGACATAATTATATAGAATCATACTGACAAGATAGATAGCCTTAAGTTAATATAATGATCACTGAGAATCTCAGATGCTAAAAATCTCAACAGCAAAGAGGTGACTTGGATAGAACAATACTATCCAGCAGCAGGTCATGATTAAAACATCTTCACTAAGCAATATTGGCGTGAAAGTTCGCCTCACATTAGCATAAACACGACGACGATGATGATGAATGGCCTAAAAAATTTATATTTTTATCCAACAAAAATAGTGCATCTACATTCATTAACAGCCATTTTCCATCCACCGGATATTTTGTTCTCCCACCAAGAGGTGTTAATTCAATAGATTCATTCATCCATTTCCATTCAACCGCCTTCATTACTGATTAACAAAGAGAATAACCTGTGTCACAAACTTAAATTTCAATTCATTAGTTCCAATAATTCTATTGTTTACCATGGGAAGAGAGGAATCTCGGTGCCAACTTGTAATCACTATAAATACATAATGTATAAAACAATTTACACTTTAGGCAATTAACTTTAGATAAGTTAAGATTAGAACCTGAAAAACTTTGTGCAAGGCTTCGATTTGCTTCCTATACCAGGTGTATTTGACTCCATTTCTGTCGCAAAGAATTAGTAGTCTTCTCAGTTATAATTTCTCTGAGTTGTTAATCACCAAACGTCTAAACATCTTTAAACCACATAATATCGTTTACAGTGACTGTCTATAATTTGAAAGATATTGACAATGAAATCATCACTAAGCCTCCTCCTACTCTTTTCTCTTTCCTTCTTTTTAAGAAATGCAAAATTTGATCCGAAGGATTCTATTTGTGACCAAAAAAAGAAAAATACTAGCCAATAAATCTTATCAATACTTTGGAAATAAATGATTCACAAAAACTAAAACTAAACAAACCACTGCATAAAGTATAAGAAACCTTCAATCACGTTCTAGTTAATACTTATGACGCAGCATAGTCTTCTTAACCAAAACCGTTTGAGTAAATTAAAGATACAACGGGATTATGTGGACACAGGATCTCATAACTAGGAAGTTAACTTCAAGGAACTCATAACTACAAACCGAAAACACCATCATGTATCACAGATACTACAATTCCCCAAGAACGAAACTTTTCAAGCTGCTGAAGATTAAGCAACAAGCAAAATAAGAAATTCTAGGGACCAAGAAAAAAAAACCCTAGATTTAATGCACAGAGCAACTATATAAAGAACATTAAGGATAACAAAGGAGTACCTTGCTTGGACTTCTTGAAACCGCCATTTCCATTAAGCCCACCCTCGAATCTGCCTCTTTTTCTCTGCCCTCCAAACTCCATATCCCAAATATCTTCGTAACCTATTTTATTTTTGAAAAAAGGAAGAAGATAACAATATACTTTAGCAAAAGAAAACCCGAGAGACGAGTTCAAAATGTCGAACGAGATAAGTGAGGCGAGCTACAACGGAAACAACTTGGCGAAAAGGAAACTAAGAGAGGCCAAATGACGGAACCCTAGAGAGAGAAAGTACGTCGCATAAAAGCGCACGCCAGAGAGAGGAGAGGCGTGAATTCGTGATTGAGCATATAAATACAAGCTCATGTCATGTGAATTTTCACGGGCGCTCACCGCTATGAATTGGTCCAGCATTTTACGGCCTTTTGGGCCTGATTGTTTGGGCTTCTCAAATTTTTTTGTATATTATATTAAAATTGTTTAATAAATTCGCAATATAATGAGAAAGATAATCTATCATTATATTAAAAGATTAACCATTTAACACTTTTAGCAAGTTTTTCCCGCCAAATACATTTAATGTCTCCTAAAAATAGAGCATTAAATGTTGCCCTTGAATCATGGCAATTGTTAATTTAGTTTGGAGAAAATCGTGGCAACTAAAACAAACAACATTAATTACGGCTGATTTAATATTTAAATGGTAAACAAATATTACTTTTTTATAACTGATTTAAATTTACGTCTGTTTAAAAGTAAAAAAACTATTTTTGTAATTTCAACAAATTTGTACACTTTAATGTACGGCTGATTTAAAATTAAAAATTTACTTTTGTATTTTCACAAAAAATCGTATAAAGAAGTATGGCTGGAATAATAATAAAAAATTAATTTGTTAAACCATATTTTGCACTCATAGATACGAATTCTCATCAAATTCAAGATTTAAAATTGTGAAGAATGTATATAGATGTGGACTGATTGAAGATATATGATTCCTTAAATTAAGGAATTCTTTCCGGTAAAAAAAAAATATAAACTTTAAATATTGATTTTATTAGTAGTGTATACCAAAGAATATTGTTACATTTAAAATTCCTATGAAGAAGAATTCTATTAATTTTCAAATTCAACATCTCATAAAAATAATATAATACACTTTTACATTCTATGAAACAATATTTAAAACCCACCATTCAACATGCATAAAATGTAAAATTACCTAACATGAATCATTTTAACTTTCTAAAATCAGTACACAATTTGCTCGGTAAGTACTAATAGTCTAATAGTTAAGAGTTAATATTTGCTATGACATATATTGGTTGGAAAGAATTCCATTTTGTATGGAATTCGAAATGAAAAAACATATTATGAAAATCAAATCTGGTTTAGAGATCGATTTCTTAATGGTCTTAACTTATGCAAATATACTGTTTCAGTTTTTAGGATTCTTTTTTATGATCTCAGTCTTTGCATTATATGAAATCTATACTTATATAAAAAGTCATCCTATTTACTAGAAATAATAGGCAGAAAAGTCAAAAGTAATTAATGTTTGCTGGAAATAGAATGATACTAATTACAGATTTGTTTTGGTATTTATAGGCTTGACATTAAAGATTTGTTATGGGATAAAAATCAGAACCCATTTTTTTACCTTTGTTGGGAAAGTCAAAGGTAAGTATAGATTTGTTTTATCCCATAGCATCGGTTTAGTTAAGAAAATCCCATCAAATCAGTTTTATATGTCAAGCCTATGAATAAAGATTTAATCGGTCAAAATTAAATCCTTATTTTACGTCACCCATAAATAAAGTAGATGTCAAGCCTAAATTGAAGAGTTTAGTTGTCTATATAGTCATTGATTTACGTAAACACATCTAATGTTTAAAGTTTGTGTAGATTGAAAATTCCTTCTTATCTTTTTACAAAAAATCTTATTATTATTGTATGGAAAATCAAACTCATAATGTTGTGTACAAAGTAATCTTTAATAATATATGATTGTTTGTTTGTCGAATACTATCTTATTGTATAATTTTCCTGCGTATTATAAAACTTTTATTGAATATTGCATCTTATAATATAGTATTCCTCAAATAAATATATCTCGTGCCTCGGGTCACGTACTATATATATCCCGTACATTTTTCTGTATTCATGTATATAATTATAAGTCTGGATAAATAGCCTTAAAATTGTGCACCCGTGCATCGCACGGGCTCTGTACTAGTGATAAATGAATCACGTCGGTTAATGCATGAAATTACATCAAGTATATTTATTTAACTATCATAAGAATAATATATTTAGCAATAATTAATAAACCATGCTATAGAACAACTCTTCTCATGGTAAAGTACTTGGCGGCATGCTTGGCGCGACACGTTTATGTTCTCAAATCATATCTTAATTAAAAGACAATTTTTCAACTCCATGTTTTGTTGTATTTTTTCTATCTACTTAGAGCCGATCTATTCCAAGTTCTTGAATTTTCAGTCCTGAATCTGTTTATTGCGTTAGTATTTTCTCTATTTTTGTTCTTGGTGTTTGGTTGCTTTTTTTGTTCGGTCTCTGTCTTGGCTTTTCCTTTATTTAGAGTAAACACTCTTAATCTTTATTGTTGTTCGATCTTCCATTTCTCTTTTTATATTATGAAAGGAAGATAATTGAATCTCTCTTTTTTCCTTCAAGTAATCCTTCCAAATTACTTATTTCAATAAACATAAATAAGATAGATAAATATTAGTTTCAATTAATGCCAAAATCAATTTTCTTACTGCTTGCATTTATTTTTAGATTATTTTTAGATTCATTTTTAGCGAGCAAACCTATATGGAATAGATATATCAACAAAATTATTTCATTTTATGAGATAAAATCAGACTAATGGATTATATTGGATTAGTACCGATAAATAAATTAAGATTCAACTTACATTAACATAAATTTTACTTTTTTTCATATATAATATAATATAGGTGACGAAAATTGGCAAAGGATATTTAATATAACATATTAGATGTAAAAGAAGAGACTTTGGTAAGATGCTAAATTAGTGGATTGGACCTCATTTAGAGGTTTAGTCAATCAAATTTGCTAATTAGGTTGTTTGGTAACGAATTCGTTTGGTTGGCTATTCGTCCAAAAACGCTAATTCTGAGAAGACTCAAAAGGTCAACCATTTTGGGAAGACATGTTAAAAAAAAAAAACAAAAAAAAGGTTTAACTGCAAACTTTCACTCTAATCAAATCATCTAATACAATATGCATTACCTTATATAATCTCCCATTAATACAATCAACTATCGTGAGAACCTCTGCTATTCATGTCAATAATTCACAGTTGTTCAATTAAGTCGAAAAAGATTGGAAATAGTTCAAAATTATCATCCTCCAGAGAATTTCACAGCATCTCATCATTTTATCATATCTCCTACACTTGTAGTAGTATATATGAAATTATATTGCTGCCTATATGCATCTAACAATAAATTGGAAGATTGAAAAGAAAATATAATGAAAAAGCATCATGTAACACAAAGATCAAGTCATAACAATACCCAAAGAAATTCTGGTAATATATAACCATTATTAACCCAAAAAGATGGAGAGAATATCAATAGCCACATGAGCTAAAGATCAACTCAAAAGAAACAGGTCACATAACACCACAAGAGTTCAACAATCAAGAAAGCAACCCATCAGCAGCAGCAGAAGCAGTCATGCCCTTCCCCATCTCATCAGAAGAGACAAGCTAGGAAGGATCCCACTTTCATATTTTTATTCCTAAAAAAACCAGCTAAACATGATAATCATACTTAATAAAAACCCTCAAAAACACTATGCCTCCTCAACAACCTCTTCCTTGGCCCCACCAAAGTCGATCCGCTTGTACCACTTGGCGCACGCCACGTAGGCCACAAAGTCGACAGCTGTCAGCGCCCCTATGAGAAAATAGAATCTATCCATACGTCCCGCGTTGAGGTCCTCCGGTATCCACCCGGGATTGTCCCCTTTAGCCGTGATCCCCATCACCATGTTCACAAGCAAGCTGCTCACGAAATTCCCGAGCGAAATCGACATCATGCACAGCGAACTCCCGAGGCTCTTGATCCCGTCCGGCGCCTGCCCATTGAAAAACTCCAACTGCCCCACGTACATAAAAACCTCCGAGGCCCCCACCAGCACGTACTGCGGCACCTGCCAGAACACGCTCATCCTGCTCTGGTGCTGACCTGGCACCACCTGCTTCAGCCTCTGCACCTCCGTCAGCCCCGCCGCCACCATGGCCAGCATCCCGATCACGAGCCCGATCCCCATTCGTTGGAGCTCCGTCAGCCCCTTGGGGTTTCCGCTGAGGCGGCAGGCGAGCGGGATGAGGATCTGGCGGTAGATCCCCGTGCAGAGGAGCACGCTGCAGATGTCGAAAACCGACATGCTGGCAGCCGGGAGGTGGAAGCCGTTGGCGAGGTGCGTGTCCATCACGTCGCCCTGCTCCACGAACAGCGACGCCATCTGCGTGAACACGACCGAGTAGATGATGGTGCAGAGCCAGATGGGGAGCATTCGGAGGATGCATTTCACTTCCTCCACCTGGGTTACCGTGCACAGGCGCCACGGGTTACCCGGGCTCTCGCGGTCTTTCGCCGTGATCGTCGCCGCCTTGTCCAGAAACCTAAACAAGAAAAAATAATGATATTTCGAAATCCAATGCGAAAAAAAATAGTATATCATCATCATCTCTTACGCAAAATCATCGGTGTGAAAGATCTTGCGGCTACCCTTGATGGCCGATTCGCTCCCCTCGACTTCGTACAACCCGGCCTCCACTGGTCTGGAGTTCCATTTCCGAAACGAGGCGGCGAAGACCTGCGCCACGCGGGGAATCGGGTTTCCGCACGCCTTCACGTAACGGTACTTTGGGGAGCCGAGCAAGTACCCGGCTAAGGCGAGGACGGCCGAGGCAGCCGAGACCCAGAAGCCGAGCGTCCACTTTCCGGTGTCCTCGTAATACACGAGCACGGTGTTGGAGAACAACGAGCCCGTGTTGAGAGCGAAGTAGAAGTAGCAGAAGAATGCGGCTTTCGAGTCTCTCTGCTTAGGGTCGGACTCGTCAAACTGGTCTGCGCCCAACGTGGCTATGGTCGGCTGGTGGCCACCGTAGCCAAAGGCCACAAGGTATATGGCTAAGTAAAACAAGGCTGTGCCGAGTGAGGTGGTCGGATTGCAGTCGTGCTTGCCATCGCCGCAGCCCTTGGGCTTGATCAGGAAAAACCACGACGAGATGGATACGAGCACTAGGCCCTGTAAATAGGGACGTTTTCAGAAATCGGGACACTTTCTGAGAATTTATTTATTTATTTGTCTAAAATTACCACGACAAAGACGACTTGGAAAATGGCGCAAGTGAGGTAACGGCCCCAATAAGAGTCGCTGAGGAAGGCGCCCACGAACGAGCAGAGGTAGACTGTTCCGGTCCATTTGCTGACGTTGTTGGCTGCAGAAGCATTGTCTTGCCCAAGAACTCGGGTCAGGAACAGGACTAAGTTCACGCCAACACCAAAGAAAGCTAGGGTCGCGAGCCCCTGGTTTGCTGCAAAAGAGAAAGAAAATAATATCAAGAAAATGTAGTGACAGTTGAGAGTATTCTTGCATCAGGTTAGTAGTTAGTTACCTAGCAGAAGAAAGGCTAAACCCCAGCCACCCCTGCTTTTCTTTTTTATTATTTTCTGCTGCTTCACTGCTGTGCTCTTTTTATTCTCGGTCTCTTGGGTGTTTAGGGTTGCCATTTCCTGATAATTATAAGTAGAACAGGAGAAAAACAGCTCAAACAAGGAAAAATACTACCATTTCTAGACATAAGTAGTTTTGGGTTTTTAATATGTAATGCTCCAGAAAAAGTAATACAAAGAGGAGAGTGCTGGCTGATTGATATCATCAAGTGTCGGAGAACAATATTATTATAAGA